TCAAATGTTTTAAACGGGCGCAAACACAAAAATGCACCAGGTATATTTCTACGAGAGGCACTATTGCTGAAGCACACAGTGTACACGAAAGCGGACATTAAAATCCTCGTGGCATCAGGTAATGCTTGACACTCGGTCAGCTGAAAGGTGACAACACCTGCATTTGCACATGGGCAGAGAGCTGGACCCAACGAGAGCAACGAGAAGGGAAGCGTTTCGTGTTAGCGAGGAAAGGCGCACGCAGATGGGGGCCAGGTATTGCACGGCAGGAGTGGGTTAGCAACTTCTAAAACTGGAATAGAACGAGGCAAGAACACACTGAAGACAAGTGAGGAAGAGGAAGAGGAGGCTGTGGTGAGTTGATACTTGTGCAGGGTGGAGGATGGAAGGCTGCCGACACTGGTGGGATGAGCAGCAGAACTATAGCCGGACGGGGCACGCGGTGAGATCCGGTGTGTGGGACTTGCGCGTGAGATGCTCATTGCACAACAGCTGCCGATCCAGCAGACGCAATGAAAGCAAACGTGACGTGTGGCGGCACCATTGGCCGTTGACCATGTGTCCAGCGACTTAGTACAAAATTATTAATTGTAAAAATGTGTTCATCATCCCAGCTGAAGTGACATGTTTTTATAAAAAACATTCCAGCATTTAAATCAAACGGACTGAACGTGGCGCTCACCCAACGTGCTGTGAGACAACGCAGAGAGCGCTCCTTGGGTGTAAAAAAAAACCATCCAAAACTACGCCGCGGCCAGCTCTCCACCGCAGGGCAGTGATGGCTGAGAGAGCGGCTCTGCGACCTCTGGGCGCACGGCACCCAGACCGATAGGGGACATTCGCCGCACCATCAACGTGGCAATTCTAACACAGCCACAGGTTTTGTCCTCATTACCCAAATCTAACATTTGAATCGGCGCCGCTTGAATGTTCAAGACACACACACACGCGCAAGTGAAGCTATAAATACTGTGACTAAACACCTGTAAAAGATTGGCAGGACACGCAAAAGCAGTTTTCATGCGAACATCATCTTTGCAGTCTCAGTGCCGAGTACGAGCAGCTGCGATGCACGAAGCAGCAGCTCGGTGCAGGCCAACTCAAGCAAGGGAAGGTTCCAGACCAGTGTCGGATACTAAACCGACACCGCCATGCACGCTGAGGAACTAAACCCATGTTTTTTTTTTACAGAAAAGTGACTAAATACTGCCCAATACATCACACACAGAGATCCCCGCCCCCCCCGCCCAAAGCCTTAACATGCTGTTGGGGCACATGCTGTTCGTGACCACCTATGAAGGGCTGGCACAACACGAAACGAGGTGGTGGAAAACACCGTTGCCTGGCCGCCTTTGTCTCCCCAGTGCTGATGTTCACACGCTGGACCGGCTATTCATTTAAGGCTGAGCCGACCTAGGTGAGGCCGGGGACCGGTTCAAATGTTCGCCACTGTTATTAGTCGTGAGCAGGAATCAGGGCTGTTGCACAATTTCCTCCCGATTAGTAAAATTAATGGAGATACACTAATACCATCAGTAATGATCAATTCAGATGATCATCGTCTAGCCCCTGGGTGAATGTATAATTGCTGCTGGTAAACCAATGATGGCGAGAAACTGTTTCATTTGCAAACAGGTGGGTGCCTATGTTTTATAGTGGAGACACAACAACAAAAATAATCATCAAGTGTCAACAAAGAGAAAATGTGAAATCTACCGCTGAATAATTATCATTATTGGCTAAATGTGGCAATGCCCAGCTGTAATTCAATGGGCCTGGCAACGAATTGGTAGATCACGCAGAGATGGAGTCATCATCTGCATTAAACACCCTTCCTCCAAGAGCAATGTACAGGGTGTTTCAAAAAGATAAACCAGATTTGAAATCGCCATATCTCTGCAACCACGAACCGCCCATGAATGAAACTCTTACCACTTGAAAGGGTGGGGCATAGTTTCCGCTCGATGCCTCTCACAGCGCACAAACAGCCCCTAGCCTCAATCATTCGGAAGATGGCGACCCCGCAACACAAAGCGTTTTGCGTTCTGCAGTTCAGCAAGACTGAATCCGTAATTGCGGTGCAGCGTGTGTTTCATCACACCCTGCGACTTTTTCTTGTGGGGATATGTCAATCTGGATGACCTCAAACACAGAATCAAGGCAGCGGTGACAACAGTGGAAGAAGACACTTTGAGAGGCATTTAGGACAAATTCGAACTATCGTCTCGATGTTGTCTGTACAGCAGGTGGAGGGCACATAGAGCATTTATAAAATGGTTAGTAAAACTTGATAACTCATTAAACCGTTTGTAACTTTTTGTGCAATTGTAACATATTGCTATCGTGAAATATACTGCTTTGAAATTGGGTCCATCTTTTTAAAACACCCTGTATTATGAGGATTGCTCAAGGTTAACTTCCACTTTGAGTTCTAGATAGCCGTAGTAGGAGAAGAAGAAGAGGCTGTTGAATGTGCGTGGAGTGGGCACGACAAACATTTGGCATATCTGTGCGGCGTCGCTTCACAGCAGCCTGTAGCAGTCTGGGTGTTTTCAAGATGGCAGCAAACAGGGTGTCGTGCGCTGCGGGAGAGTAGCCAAGGGCACTGACATTTACAGGATGTATCTGCTATGAAGAAGGGCCCATTGCCTGAAATGTCACCTATTAGATCTTGTTTTCCTTTTAAGGCCACAGTGTCGTTGATGAATGTGTTGAGGTTTCTTGTTAAGTGTGTTTGTGCACCACTCTCACAGCGAAATTCTTCAGAGGTGGGTAGTAAAGATCAGCGACGCGTGTCTCTCAAGCGGACGCGTGTCCGAGCGGCACACAAGGTTGTCACGTGGGTGCGAGTAGGTACAACGTGGTGAGAATGTGAAAGGAGATGCTTCTGAATTGGCAATGCGCCTGTTCTAAAGAATTTCACGATTCTGCCACCAGGCCATTTCATGACCAGTGGGAGAAATGTGTCCGCATTGTATATTCAAACCAACAGAGTAAGTTTAATAAACTTTAGTGTCATATATCCGTGAACCAAAAGCATAGGATAACAATTTTCAACGATTTTTTTTTACTTTACTAGGCAAGGCCTACTAAGCTCTACAGCTCTTTTTCAGAAGCAACCTGGTCACATGATAGCTCGACAAAGTGGCTTATCACGTGGAAATTACCGCAGAGAAATACTCTAAATGCATGTGTCTAAATGTGGAGGGAAAAAAACCCGGAGGATCCGGAGAAAAATCCATGCTACCACGGGCAGAACGTGCAGACTTCAAATATACAGGATTAAACCCACGGCTGCCTGCATGCCAGGTGAGGCACATAACATCTCACAACTGTGGCAGCCCTAGTTTATCTTTGAACCACACTCGTGCAACAACCACACAGGCATCAAATAATATCAAGTTAAACCAAGCGAGGACATTGCAGCAAATAGGAATTCTTTATGCCGACTCACAGGTAAGAGCTATCAGTTTAAGTTACTGAATACAATCGTGACAGAAGTGCAAACAACGGCAGATGAACCCTATCACACCTTCACCACGGTGCCACATTCAGTGACATGATGTCCAGTATCACCCTTGAGTTGCAAATGTTATTATTTAATACATTTCACAAATACATCTGCAAGTCATCAGGATGCTTATTCACAACTGTGCGGGCAAGTTGTAACTAAATGATCACGGATTTTTAAATATTTCCTCAGTAAAGTCTCCCTGGCTCTCTCCCAAGACTTTCAAGCAGGCTAACTGCTTGAGATGTTGGCAACTGGTTCTATCTGAGGATGTTTCGATGACACTGATGCAGTATTATTCTGGATAGATGAACGTTATATGGCCCCGTACACAAGGCTTCATTTATAACCGAATATTTTCGGGTTCGCTGGCAGACTGGAGTAGTAGGCACACGACGAGTTGGTCACAGCCATCGCAAGAGATATACTGGATGTGGTGTGCCGTGTGTAGAAATATTTTCCTGGACCGTTCCGGCTACAACTAAGCCCTCCCTATAACGTAATGAGGGGTGGTGGGGGTGCAATGGTTATGCACAGAGAACTCTGAACCCGGTGACCTCAGTTCAATTCCCAGCCATGGCTAAGACGAGTGGGGTGAGTGATAACCACACAGGTCCTGCCACCCCCCCACCGCCACACCCCCATCAATCCACAAACCCAGCATGGTGAAGTATGGCCAGACAACCCCCACGACCGACGTGGCGTGTGGAGGATTTCATCCAGCAGAGCATTGACAAAGGGCTGTAATTACACTGCTTTGCATGATCACTGAATGTAGAAGTTACTGTTCAAACGTAACAATAACTTACCTTAACTCTGTGAGCAACTGTGCATTGCAACAGACACATGACACGTGTGAAACACCCGTTCTCCTGCACTGTGCTAAAATAAACACATTTAATGCACCGATGGTGCACTCCTGAAGTACTGTAAATTAATAAAAGTGGCATTAGTACTGTAAGGGATTAGACATGGCGGGAGAGCACGGTGGGTAGAGCAGCAAGCTCCTGTTTGTTTAGATTCATGGTTCAACTCCTAGGCAGGGTCAGCTGAGTCACGTGGTGCTTTTGTGGGATTGTGGAACTTCCAGCACTGGCTCAGAACCAAGGACACAGATGAGTGCCACGGAACTCTGAGTAGCACAGCCAGATCCTGTACGCATGCTGTGTGTGCATGCTGTGTATGCATGCTGTGTGCGCATGCTGTGTGCGCATGCTGTGTGCGCATGCTGTGTGCGCATGCTGTGTGTGTGTGCTGTGTGTACATGCTGTGTGTGTGTGTCTGCTAGTGCACGCTCTGTGTGTGTCTATGTCTGCATGTGCTGTATGCACCCTGTGTGTGCTATGTGTGTGTGTGCACACTTTGTGTGTGTGCTATGTGCGTGTGTGTGCTATGTGTGCTGTGTGCATACTGTATGTGTGTGTGCTATGTATGCACACTGTGTGTGCTATGTGTGTGTGTGCACGCTGTGTGTGCGAGGAGATGGTACCTGATCCCTCGCCCACTCGGCTTTGTCTGTCAGGAGCTCCACGTTCTCCCTCTCCTCCTCCAGCTCGGCCTGCAGAGTGCTCACCCGCTCCTGCATGCGGCACACACCATGCGACCACCCGTTACACTCACCGCTCTGTGCCGATGAGTTACAGTCACCGCTCTGTGCCGATGAGTTACACTCACCGCGCTGTGCCGATGAGTTACGCTCACCGCGCTGTGCCGATGAGTTACACTCACCGCGCTGTGTTGATGACTCCCAACACCGCCGAAACCTGTATGGCACAGCCGGGCTTCTCTGCTGTCGCGATACGTGGCGGCGATCCCGACTGTAAGCAGCGATTTGGCCTAACGAGGCTATTTACCGCCAGTGCCTGTGGAGTTCCATAACGTTTTAGGAGCCTCAGGCCTTCTGTCTACAAAGGAGACTCCCAGTCCGTCTTGAATGTTGACCTCTGATGAAGTAAAAGTTTACCAAGTGATTCTCGGATCCTTTTCTATTCGGAGCATTACTATAAAAAGTGTGTTCTATTTACAACCCTTATTTTCTTCACATTTTTATGCTGGTTTGCAAAAAAAAGGTGAGCGAAAGTTGCCACGTTTGCACATATCCACAGCTGCTTTGGCCAATCCACTGCTGGATTAAGACCTTCCAAATCCGAGCGGGCCGTGGCGGTGATTTGCCAATACGTACTTCACCATGCGAGTTGGTGCTGGTGGGCAGAGGCAGGCAGCGTAGAATCTCAGTGCAACAATGGATTTTGCTACAGTGCCCTTTGCTAACCACACGTAGTACTGCCTCACTGCCATCTAGACAACGTAGCGTGCATGGCGATCACCCATCCAAGCACTATCCAAGCTCAACCCTGCTTAGCTTCTGCGATCAGTGCGTTCCGGGTGATTTGCTCAGATGCCATTGCCCATTTTTTCTGTACTCCCAGATTCTACCTTGCAGACTCTCACTGGATTCCCGCCAGCCTAGGGGGCCTCGGGGGCGCTGGGCCGAAGGGGCGCTGGGCCGGCAGGGACCACCATGGTGGTGCAGAGCGGATTGTGCGCTCAGTGCTGGGCCCTCTGCTCATGGGGTCGATGGGTAAATCTCAGTGGTGAGACGTACAGGGATGTGTTCAAGCAAGTCGCCTTGCTGCAGAGTGGATGATAATGACCCCCCCCCCTCCTGCAAATACGTGAGCATTTGCACGCACGCAGATTGCAACCCAAGCCTCAAGAGCGAAAAGTAAACATCACTCAGAGAACAGTGCAATATAACCACCCTTAAATAACTACGGTGACACGGACATAATTGGCAATTTATCTTAATGGACTTTAAACTGGTTACAAAACAGACATTGATCGATATATTCTGAAGGTCTCATTACCCTTCGCTGCAAGCCAGTCGCTTTGCCGACTTTACACGCACGATGTGTAATGGTCGAGCCTGGCACATTGTACAACACGGTAATATATTTTGAAATCATAAAATATCCTCATGGAGAAAATAAACTGGTCCGATACTGCTGTAGCTTACCCACATTGCCACACTGCACACGTGACCCGAGGGCAAACGACATCTTATGCTCCACACATGCAGGCAACGCGCCTTACCCCGTGCGAGCACAGATACAACACTGTGTTAGGCTGGGCTGTGGGAAATAAGCAAGGCGCTAATTTTTTTTTGTCGAGCGGTGCCGTTGAGGCTAAGAAATGTCCACACCCTGCAGCTTCAGAATAATGAGGTTCGATGTTTAACGGAAACCATTGAATGTGTTTAATCACAATATCGTCTTTCTTTTGATCAGATTGTGCAACACAGCAGAAGACAGAGAATGAAGCATTGCACACAAGCTCATAGTGCAGGGCGTGTAAACGAGGGTCGGTGGCTGTGCGTGGCCTGGTCCTCTCCAACAACCAACCCACACCGCTCCCTCTCCCTACACACTCGCTACCCCAAACCACTACCACTCCCTCTCCCTACCCCACACCACTCCCTCTCCCTACACATTCCCTACACACTCCACTCCCTACACACTCACTACCCACACCACTCCCTCTCCCTACACACTCACTACACACACCACTCCCTCTCCCTCCACAATCCACTCCCACTCCCTCTCCCTACACACTCCCTACCCACACCACTCCCTCTCACTAGACACTTCCACACTCCACACCACTCCCTCTCCCTACCCCACACCACTCCCTCTTCCTATACACTCCCTACACACACCACTCCCTCTCCCTACACAATCCACTCCCACTCCCTCTCCCTACACACTCCCTACCCACACCACTCCCTCTCCCTAGACACTCCCTACCCACACCCCTCTCTCTCCCTACCCACACCGCTCCCTCTCCCTCCACACTCACTACCCACACCACTCCCGCTCCCTACACACTCCCTACCCACGCCACTCCCTACACACTCACTACCCCACGCCCCTCTTTCTCCCTACACACTCCCTACCCACGCCCCTCTCTCTCCCTACACACTCCCTACCCTCTCTCCCTACGGGGACCGGGATGGGGAACTGGAACAGGGACACTGTGTTGATTGCGGTGGCGGCCGGGGGAGTCCCGAGCCGCGACGGTGCGCCACAGTGCGGTGCTGCGAGGTAGAATGCGAGGCTCGAGATTCGACCGTACGACAGCGGCCAAGTCTGGCAGAAGGGAAGAAGAGCGAGGAATGGTGGCATGACAGGCCGAGTGTGGCGAGTGATGCCCCAGCCCATGTTCAGCATGGGGCCAAGCACACCGAGGGCCCACAACACGGAAACGAGGCACCAGTTAATGAGGTCGTGGGTCAGACCCAGACGTGGACTAGTTTCGCCCCAGCGCAGCACCAGCCCGGCTCCGGTCTGCTGTACGGCGGCTGTGGCAACTTTACCTCGAGGGCCTTGACCTGCCGCGGGTTGTCCTTGCGCAGAGCGGCCGAGCTGAGTTCCAGGCGCATGTCCTGGAGGCTGCGGTCGAGGCGGCGGTTCTCCAGCTCGGCCGCCTCCCGCTCGCCACGCTCGCGCTCCACGTCCCGCTCGACCTTCTTGAGCTGCAGCCACGCACAGCACATGCAGCACACACACAGCAAATCAAGACACATATCATGCCCAGCACACACACACACAGCACATGCAGTACACATACAGCAAATCAAGACACACATCATGCCCAGCACACACACACACAGCACATGCAGTACACACACAGCAAATCAAGACACACATCATGCCCAGCACACACACACACAGCACATGCAGCACACACAGAGCAAATCAAGACACACATCATGCCCAGCACACACACACACACAGCACATGCAGTACACACACAGAAAATCAAGACACACATCATGCCCAGCACACACACACACAGCACATGCAGTACACAAACAGCAAATCAAGACACACATCATGCCCAGCACACACACACACACAGCACATGCAGCACACACACAGCAAATCAAGACACACATCATGCCCAGCACACACACAGCACATGCAGCACACACACAGTAAATCAAAACACACATCATGCCCAGCACACACACACAGCATCTCAATAACACAGCACATACAGCACATCAATACACATATCAAGGACCCAACACCCATAGAACATTCTGCATACAGCAATCATACACATCTAGCACATACAGCACATACGGACTCGCACAACTCAACAACACAAACAGCAATGAGCAAAGTCCAGCGAGGTCAGCATCACAAACACCGCAACAGGGAAACCACACAACACACACGACAAGGATAGAGCGCAGCAGGCCAGGGCACAGCCAGGATGCGGCCAGGACGCGGCACAGCAGGGCAGGACATGGCCAAGACACAGCGGGGCGGGATGCGGTCAGGACGTGGCCATAACACGGGACACACAGCGGGCCAGGATGCAGCCAGCACGCGGCACAGCAGCGAGGACACAGCGGGGCAGGACGCAGCCAGGAAGCTCTGGGCGCGGCGCCTCCGTTCCTCCCCAGTGGTACGAGCCATGGCACTCGTGCGACGCGAGACTGTTTCCCAAAGCGAGACACGCACGCCGATGTTTTTCCGCTCGAAGACTACACGACACTAAGCTGATAGGGACCGACGTGCACCGCATTGCTTGGTCGAGAATGAATACATTCACATTAAGATGGCTGGAGTCAAATTATGACATTTCTCGCCACTTAATAATTCACATTTATCAATGCCAGCGATGGCTGACATTCGTCGAGCAATGGTGCAGTGGTAAAGGTTGCTATAAAAGTGGTGATGGACGCATTTGTATTTTTCCCACTAAACACGTTTGCCAATGAAATCTACTACACGCGCGGCCGCCTCATTTATGCGGCTTCTCAAACGGACACGACCAGAAGACCGCACGCGTGTGAGTGGTCATCCCCTGCGATACATCCAAGTGTCTGAAACAACCATTAAGCTGTGCGCTCATCTTTGATGATGGCCCAAAGCCAGTGGTAGAAATTCCACATTTCTATGCTGGTGGCCAGTATATCATCCATCGGACATCGCTGTTGTGTTATCACGGAGCGGCACTCATTTCAGCAACTCTGGAAGGACGGTGGGCTGAGCATATTCCGAATTTTAGCTCACGACTCTCTCCTGCAGCTGCTGCAGATTAGTATTTATGAGGGACGTATTCATGATTTTCAGTTTGATCCAAAAACATCCAGAAATGGGGCCTAGATTACGACATTTTGGATTTTATTAATGTTTTGCTTTTGGATTCCTCCAAAAGGTGCCGTGACAGGGAGTAACGTCACTTCATTGGCGCCGATTTTCTTCTCTTCTCACCAAAAGTTCCACCACATAACGGCAATATGAGGACACGTGACATCTCTTTTGATGAAATGGTCACTCGGTACATCAGAAAAAAGTTTTCAGGCTGGATTCCTGCCTGGCTAATGCCAGGTGTGTGTGTATGTGCAGTGATGCCATTACCCGTAACACACAGCATTGAACCGGGTTCGTGCGTCGTGTCCACAGACAGACGGATGCGTTCAACGGCTGCTCGTTGCCGATGAAACTTTGCGAAAAAATTTAAAATACAATGACTAATATAGCAAAACATTGCAATGATTAGTTTATAAAGAATGCAAGTTAATACATGCGAATAAAAGTAAATCTAAAAAATATAAAATAGAATAAAATATATGAATAGATTTAACAGGAAACTCATTCCGAGTAGGCTTGGTGAGGCGCGCATGAAGCCACCGAGTTTCCCACAGTCCCGCGCGTTCCACATACCGCAGCACAGGCGAAGTGGCGCCACTGCCCAGTGTGCAGGCGGTGCAACTGCACTGCTGGGGCCCACGGGCAGGGGGAGAGCCCAGACGCTGGGCCACAATGAGGGGAAATTGAACAGGGGGCCTCATTTCATTCCCTGCACCAGGATGGAAGCCAACTGCTCGCAATCTGCTTCAAGCACGACTGCAATGCGTGTGCACGGCCGGGCGATGGAGGCTAAACAGACCGCCTCAGGCCGGGCCTCACCTCCTGCTGGAACCTCGTGTTGTGCTGGATCGACACCTCCAGGGCCTGGGCCTTCTCCTGCAGCAGCCTCTGCAGGTCGGCCGAGTCCCTCCGAGCCTTCTCCCTCAGCTCCTCAAACTCGGTGCGCAGCTTCACAGCCCTGGCCGATGTCTCGCTCGATTCGGAGAGCTAACCCACAGCACACGCACCCACACACACACCTTCGATTAGCACGGTTGGCTACGTATGGTGCGAAAGAAGTTCAGCATACACGCACACAACAAAATGACCACGTACACATAAAACACACACCACATACCACAAAGCAACCGACATGTGCCACAAGAGTGGCGATGACGACATCACCACAGTGCTTGTGCCAGTGTAGTTCTGGCATGTATCTGCTATTTATTTTAATCAGGTTAGACGCACCTTGAGGCCACGTGAAGTGTGTAAGGCTCTCTGCTGCTGGCAGGACGTCAAGGGACAGACCCAGGTGCCATGGGTTGACTAAATGAGATGGCTGGCAGGTGCATCAGCTGTGCTGCACCCACTGTGACACCTCGGTGCATTTTAACAACCCGGCTCACTTGCCGTGCAAAAAATCTTTGCATTATTGAGCCCCCCCCCAAAAAAAATACAAAAGTCTATTTTAATAATTTTTGTATGGTGTACAGTCTGGAACGTACCCACATGGCAAATTTCAAGTTTGTTGCATGTCGGGAAGTACGCTAAACATTTTGAACAGACACACATAATCACAACTTTGTCTTTTATATGTATGTAGATTATTATTGTTAATTTAACTAACATCATTGTTTTTTTATGTATGTTTGCGTCTTTCTCCGGCTGTGCCATTGGAGTGTGGTGCGCATTTGTACGTTAAATACAATATACTGTTTTGAAAAATAATTTCTTATTATAATACTTTCTTGTTTATGTTATTGGACTTTTAGACAATTCTATTGCGATTGCACAACACAGATCCAGCACGTATAGATGAAACATAAACATTATGCCATACAGTACTAAATTTAGATTGAAAGCTTTCGTGACTGCAGGGATTCATATTCTTGCTTCTTTCGGTAAAGTTACGTAGAAGGGAAACAACAAAATAATAAAAATAAAACGATACAATTTTCTTGCCGTGGTTTTCACACCTGATGATCATTGCTTGTGTTGCAATCGAAACGTCGTGAGAATTGTATCGTTTTATTATTTTATTATTTCCCTTCTACGTGACTTTACCGAGGAACCACAGTCAGGTCAAGGATTTTCTCTCATGCAGCACTCTCTGACAGCACAACCGCACGTCACAGGGAACCAGTAACAGCAGGCCGGGTCCGGGAGCATCTCAAGCAGCTCACAGGCGCTCATTTCAGCTGTGTGGGTGGTTGTTTTACGCCCCTGCTCAGCTGCAGCAAATACATTCTCTTCAGTCAGAACTCGTGACCGTACGAGGACCATCAGGCTTACTCGCCGTGGCCAAGGGTCTGGGAATTCACAAGCTGGAGCCAAACGTGGATGGTAGCCAGCCAAACGTGCTGCCTAAAAGCACTCACTTAGAGGGCAGTATTCGGGGGGTGAGGCCCGTAGTTTCCACCTATTTCATTGCGTGGCTTCTACCCTACACAACATTGTCATCGGTCCTGGAGACGCGCTTTGTCCTAGCCTCGAGACCACAAGCATCTGGCCATGAACGCAGAGATGAAGAGCTGCACGTCAAATCTAGGCACACGTGAACCTCGTATACAAAGACACATGGGACATAGCTACACAGATACACATCAAGTATCTCAACAGGCTTGGGTTTAAACCCGTTTAATGTTTCTCGCTGAATAGCGGCCACCAAACAAAACAATTGAAAAACGAGAATGGGTGCCGGCAGTATTGTACCCTTGCGTCTCCAGCCGGTAATGCGATCCGTTGAGGGATCACAGCAACCGTGTGTGACGTGTGTGGTTGTTGTGCGATTGGGGCTTGTGGCCGGCCTGCGTTAGGCTAAAACAATCGGCAATCAATTGGATTGTTTTTCCAAATCCTCCCAACACTCTCTGTGAATCTGCCCTCGTGTTCAAAAGCCTTCACGGACCTTGCCTCCTGTTACCTCTCGGCCCTTTCACCCGCTGCCTATTGGCAGGGACTCTGCTCCAGTGGCCACTGCGCAGACTGCAATGTCACCCACCCCAATTACCCTCCCTGCTCACCACCCCTTCCCCCCATCTGCACTGTCGACCTCCTGCCGTTCACGAGTCAAGTTTGGGACGTTCTGGGGAGTGAGGGTTCCTGGATTTCGAGCCCGCAAAGTCTCACGGAGACAAGGCTCTTGCTGAAGGCACACGTTGGGTGAATGCAAGTGAAACGCTTGCAAAAGCGGCACAACGGCGGAAGACGCACTGAATATCCACAACAGGAATTTGAGATATTTAGTGGATTTTATGACAGCGAGTGCAGAATGAGTGCTGAGTAAGGGGAGAGTGTGTAGAGAGTACAGAGCAAGCGCAGAGTGAGTGGAGAGTGTGTGGAGAGTGTGTGGAGAGAGGCGAGAGTGAGTGCTGAGTGAGTGGAGATTGAGTGGAGAGTGGGTGGAGATGGAGGGAGGGGAGAGTGGGTGGAGATTGAGTGGAGAGTGGGTGGAGATGGAGGGGAGAGTGGGTGGAGATTGAGTGGAGAGTGGGTGGAGAGTGAGTGGAGAGTGAGTGGAGAGTGAGTGCCGAGTGGGTGGAGAGTGAGTGGAGAGTGGGTGGAGAGTGAGTGGAGAGTGAGTGGAGAGTGAGTGCAGAGTGAGTGTAGAGTGAATGGAGAGTGAGTGGAGAGTGAGTGCCGAGTGAGTGGAGAGTGAGTGGAGAGTGGGTGCCGAGTGAGTGCCGAGTGAGGGGAGAGTGAGTGGAGAGTGAGTGCCGAGTGAGTGCCGAGTGAGTGGAGAGTGAGTGGAGAGTGAGTGCCGAGTGAGTGCCGAGTGAGTGGAGAGTGAGTGCCGAGTGAGTGCCGAGTGAGTGCCGAGTGAGTGCCGAGTGAGTGCCGAGTGAGTGGAGAGTGATTGGAGAGTGAGTGGAGAGTGAGTGCCGAGTGAGTGCCGAGTGAGTGCCGAGTGAGTGGAGAGTGAGTGCCGAGTGAGGGGAGAGTGATTGGAGAGTGAGTGCCGAGTGAGTGCCGAGTGAGTGCCGAGTGAGTGCCGAGTGAGTGCCGAGTGAGTGGAGAGTGAGTGGAGAGTGAGTGCCGAGTGAGTGCCGAGTGAGGGGAGAGTGAGTGGAGAGTGAGTGCCGAGTGAGTGCCGAGTGAGTGGAGAGTGAGTGGAGAGTGGGTGCCGAGTGAGTGCCGAGTGAGGGGAGAGTGAGTGGAGAGTGAGTGCCGAGTGAGTGCCGAGTGAGTGGAGAGTGAGTGGAGAGTGAGTGCCGAGTGAGTGCCGAGTGAGTGGAGAGTGAGTGCCGAGTGAGTGCCGAGTGAGTGCCGAGTGAGTGCCGAGTGAGTGCCGAGTGAGTGGAGAGTGATTGGAGAGTGATTGGAGAGTGAGTGCCGAGTGAGTGCCGAGTGAGTGGAGAGTGAGTGGAGAGTGAGTGCCGAGTGAGTGCCGAGTGAGTGGAGAGTGAGTGCCGAGTGAGTGCCGAGTGAGTGCCGAGTGAGTGCCGAGTGAGTGGAGAGTGATTGGAGAGTGATTGGAGAGTGAGTGCCGAGTGAGTGCCGAGTGAGTGCCGAGTGAGTGGAGAGTGAGTGCCGAGTGAGGGGAGAGTGATTGGAGAGTGAGTGCCGAGTGAGTGCCGAGTGAGTGCCGAGTGAGTGCCGAGTGAGTGCCGAGTGAGTGGAGAGTGAGTGCCGAGTGAGTGGAGAGTGAGTGGAGAGTGAGGGATTGGAGAGTGAGTGGAGAGTGGGTGCCGAGTGAGTGCCGAGTGAGGGGAGAGTGAGTGGAGAGTGAGTGCCGAGTGAGTGCCGAGTGAGTGGAGAGTGAGTGGAGAGTGAGTGCCGAGTGAGGGGAGAGTGAGTGGAGAGTGAGTGCCGAGTGAGGGGAGAGTGAGTGGAGAGTGAGTGCCGAGTGAGTGGAGAGTGGGTGCCGAGTGAGTGCCGAGTGAGGGGAGAGTGAGTGGAGAGTGAGTGCCGAGTGAGTGCCGAGTGAGTGGAGAGTGAGTGCCGAGTGAGTGCCGAGTGAGTGGAGAGTGAGTGGAGAGTGAGTGCCGAGTGAGTGCCGAGTGAGTGCCGAGTGAGTGGAGAGTGATTGGAGAGTGAGTGCCGAGTGAGTGCCGAGTGAGTGCCGAGTGAGTGCCGAGTGAGTGGAGAGTGAGTGCCGAGTGATTGCCGAGTGAGTGGAGAGTGAGTGGAGAGTGAGGGATTGGAGAGTGAGTGGAGAGTGAGTGGAGAGTGAGTGCCGAGTGAGTGCCGAGTGAGTGCCGAGTGAGTGCGGAGTGAGTGGAGAGTGATTGGAGAGTGAGTGCCGAGTGAGTGCCGAGTGAGTGCCGAGTGAGTGCCGAGTGAGTGGAGAGTGAGTGCCGAGTGAGTGCCGAGTGATTGGAGAGTGAGTGCCGAGTGAGTGCCGAGTGAGTGGAGAGTGATTGGAGAGTGAGTGCCGAGTGAGTGCCGAGTGAGTGGAGAGTGAGTGCCGAGTGAGTGGAGAGTGATTGGAGAGTGAGTGCCGAGTGAGTGCCGAGTGATTGGAGAGTGAGTGCCGAGTGAGTGCCGAGTGAGTGGAGAGTGAGTGCCGAGTGATTGCCGAGTGAGTGGAGAGTGAGTGGAGAGTGAGGGATTGGAGAGTGAGTGGAGAGTGAGTGCCGAGTGAGTGCCGAGTGAGTGCCGAGTGAGTGCCGAGTGATTGCCGAGTGAGTGGAGAGTGAGTGGAGAGTGAGGGATTGGAGAGTGAGTGGAGAGTGAGTGGACAGTGAGTGGAGAGTGAGTGGAGAGCGAGTGGAGAGCGAGTGGAGAGCGAGTGGAGAGCGAGTGCCGAGTGAGTGGGGGGCGGCACCTCGTTGCGGAGTCTCTCCAGGGCGCGCTCCTGCTGCTGGGCCTTCTCCCTCTCGTGCTCCAGCTCCTGCCTCAGCTCCTCCCGCTGGCGCTCCGAGCTCTGCCGCCGTGCAGTCAGCTCCTGCTGCTCAGCCTGCAGCCTGCTGCACTTGCGCTGCACATGCGCACACACGCACAAAAATATACACACACACACACAATGGAGTGCACACACACAACACATCACACTCAGATGGGTGCAAATTATTCTAGATTTGAAGCCTTCGTGACTGCAAGGATTCATACTCGTAGGTTTTTTTGGTAAAGTCACGTCGGGAAAAAATAAATAATAAAAAATTTATAGAAAAAATAATAGAAATAATAATGATTTATTATATTTCTATTATGTTTCTCAAATTTTTTTCTATTATAATGAAAAAATAATAGAAATAATAATGATTTATTATATTATTTCTATCATTTTTGAATATCTATTTTATTATTTATTTTTGGCCGACGTGACTTTACCGAAAAAACCTAAGAGTATGGGTGCGTACTATGTTTACAAAGACAAACATCCTCTCTCTAGCCTGCCTTATTGCGAGGGCGGGCGGTGCTTCCAGCAGGCACCTGCTCATGCCGGCATGGCACCAAGGGGTGGTGGCGGTGGTGGCGAGCGGCAACATGCCTGGCTGCCTTTGTCTCCATACGGAGAACGTTTACCGTGTAACAAGTGATCAATGTAGGCTCAGACCTTGCGAGCCCCAGGTCAGACTCGCAGCAATGAATGACTCGCACAACAACGGAGGGCCCCCCCCTCCCTGCGTGGCCTTGTCCATCCGTAGGGACAGGTGCTAAAAGTGGGCACGCCGCTGCACGAGGCAGCGCCGATGCCAGCACCACGCTCGTCTGGCTGCCAATACCACGGCAGGCTCATGCTGTACTCTTAGTTTTTTCGGTAAAGTCACGTAGGTAAAAAATGAAATTTAAATTAATGAAAGTAATAATAGAAGTGAAATAATAAAAAATCACGACGTTTCGGAGGCAACACAAGTCTCCGTCATCAGGTGGGACCGTCACAGCTAGATTTGCTGTATCAAGTGAGTGCCTTACTAATTTTCATTTCATTTTTTACCTACGTGACTTTACTGAAAAAACTAAGAGTATGAATCCTTGCAGTCACGAAAGCTTCAAATTTAGGCTCATGCTGACCACGGCACGGCAAGCACTGGTTTTAAACTCACCATTGGAACCTCCTTTTGCCAGTAGCGAAATCAGATAATTGGTTTTTTACCCTTTTATCTGCCAACAAAATTGATACTTTTTTTTAAACAAGGAGTCATATTTGCATTGACCACAATACCTGCGTTCGGAATGCAAACAAAAGTGCTATACATTATCAGAGTTGTGTTTTTTGTTTGCGTTCCGACCGCAGGTATTGTGGTCAATGCAAACATGACTCCTTGTAAAAAAGGTGTCAGTTTTGTTGCCAGATGAAAGGGTAAAAAAACAATTATCTGATTTTAAACTCTCGACCCACCTAGGGGTGTGCATGGCTTACGGTAAAACGTACGTCACTGGGATTTTACGTGAGGGCACTAAACAGGTGCTCATGAGTGTCAAGGGTCAGATGAGTTTGTGACTGGCGGGTGATGAAAGAAGTCTGATTAGGGTCTTCGTGCGAGTGCCACTTCAGCCTGTCCACGGGCCGGGCTGCCCTCTCGTGTCTCAGTAATCGATCATCTGAGATTGGAAGAAATCCGGTTAAATTGCTTCTAATTGCAGAACCGCACTTCGCCAACTTCTCAACGATGGGCTTCATCCATTCCAAGATGAGGAACTCACTGGCGGCGCCCACGATTGTGGAGGAGAAGCTCGTGTTCATCAAGACCAACCTGCCCGCCGCATTCTACGACTACCCCGTGCCCGACGACCCCGAGTACGATAGCAGCACCGACGAGGAAGCAGCCTAAGCCGAGATTCGTATTCATTAAACCAGGTTTTAATTCCCCGAAATCGGGTTTAATTGTATTAATGAAAAAACCCGATGCCTGCCGCTGGGAAAATCGAGTTTTTTCCACCCATGCGGTAATCCACTTGCGAAAAGATTCAGAAACAAGTTTGGGGCTACGCCTGCTGCCAGCGAGGCAGAACAACGGTGGCTTTCGCACCTCCAGTTCCTCCAGCTGAGTCTGTAGAGTCCGCTGGGCAGCCTCCATCTCCACCTCCAGGGCATCGGCCTTCTCCAGGGCTTCTGCCTTACGAGCTTGCTCCGCCTGCACACCGTACACACACACACGTGTCAGTGAGTACGCCCGCCACTCACAGAGAACACAATCAGCACCGCACTACTCACGTCTTGCGCAACACTCACAGACGACACCTGCACTACCGCACTACACAGTCTTACCCAACACTCACAGACAACACCCGCACTACACACGTCTTTCGCAACACTCACAGACGACACCCGCACTACCGCACTACTCGCGTCTTACCCAACACCCACAGACGACACCCGCACTACCGCACTACCGCACATCTTGCACAACACTCACAGACAACACCCGCACTACCGCACTACACACGTCTTGCACAACACCCACAGACGACACCCGCACTACCGCACTACACACGTCTTACGCAACACTCACAGACGACACCCGCACTACCGCACTACTCGCGTCTTACCAAACACCCACAGACGACACCCGCACTACCGCACTACCGCACGTCTTGCACAACACTCACAGACAACACCCGCACTACCGCACGTCTTGCACAACACCCACAGACGACACCCGCACTACCGCACTACTCACGTCTTGCACAACACTCAGACAACACCCGCACTACACACGTCTTGCGCAACACTCACAAACGACACCCGCACTACCGCACTACCACACGTCACACTCCAATCAGAGCGAGCATTCCTCAATAGCAACTGCACACATCGCGACACACTCCTAACACAGTGAACACTCCTCACTAAAACACCAGCACAGAAAGTTGTAACTGGCGTAACACCACGAGGAAATTTGTAATATTATTGTTGTCCATTCGTTGATTTTACCCTGTCCCAATATTTCACGTGACCACATGGTTACATCGTGGACAGTCTGGAGAAACACGCATTCAAAATGCTAACTAGTCCATGAAGGAAACATGACCACGGCCTGTGTAACTGTTCGCCAATCGACATTGGCCATCTGGAGGCAGGAGGCGATAAGCAGCAGGCAGGGATGTACACACGTAGGCTTTCGCGACCAATATTATTCATAATCAACGTTTTTGGGTTTAGATCGCGTTATTTATAAATGTGTCATAACCCTACTCACCATTCGGGCGAATTGCCCGATGATGCTGGATGCAATTACCAGCGAAACGTCGTACTCAAAAATTGTAAATGTTGTGGTTTCACGCTTCAACACACCGGTGGGCTAAAGCAGTGAACTATTTGTCTTTTGTCAACATGACACTTTTTTACTGATTGGCCGTGTCGGGTGGTGGAGGGTTACGACACATTTATAAATAACGCGATCTAACCCAAAAAGTTGATTATGAGGGATGGACACGTTTGCACAAAAATCAACAGGCCCCCCCCACGCCCCCCGTTCCCTTGCAAGCACTTGGCAGCGTCCGCTTGCGTGTGGCTATCCACGCGGGGGGGGGGGGGGGGGGGGGCGGACAGGGAACCAGCCCCGCGTGGTCAACGGCGTCCGAGCGAGGCGACGCTCTCACCTCGAGGCGGCCGAGCCGGCCCTTCCACGTGTCCTCGTCGCTGCGCGCCGCCTCCAGCGCCGGCCTCAGCTGCAGGAGCTCGGCCTGCAGCCTCTCGCGCTCCTGCCGCAGCTCCGACAGCTCCGCCTCGGCGCGCCGCGCCTGCTGCTCCGCCACGGAGCGGGCTCGGCCCGACTCCCCGGCACTCGCCTCCAGCTCCAGCACCCGCTACAAAGCAGGGACAAAGATCCTTGACGTGGCCCTTCAGCTGTTAGGGCACCTGTGACACGACGCACGAGGGGGTGTTGTGGCCAACATTGCGCCCGGCTGACTTTGTCTCGCCAGTGATGATATTTTCAGTCGACCTAGGGAAGGCCCAGGGTGCAGTTACAATATTTGCGACCGATTTGTCACGAGCGGGAATGGAACTCGTGATTTCCGGCTACACAGCACGTTGCGCTGACCACTACACACTACCAAAAACACAGCAACAAGAATAACAACAGGCGCCATTCGCCACTCAGTAGAGCTGACATCACCACGGCACTTGTGCCAGCCTAGGTGCACTTTGAGGACACGTGAAGTATCGAAGGTTTGCTGCTGGCAGGTCACGGGACAGACCCAGGTGCCATGGGTTGACTGACATGGCTGGCAGATGCACCACCTGTGCACTACTGTGCCAACTTGCTGCGTTTTTGCTGCCCGGCGCAACACACGCTAACCGAATATAGAACACTGTATTATGTGTAGACACGTGTAATACAGCACAAACTAAAACACAAAAACTACAAATCCCTTGGTTAGACTTTTGAAACATTAGCAGAAGTGCCATCAACAAACATCCAATAAAACCAGTGTACGTACGGCTCCACGCTCAGCTGCATCTCCCTCCCAATAGCTAGTGTAGGCCCACAACCACGGCTAATAAACTTCGGCCGAGTCAACCTAGAAGAGAACGAGGCCACGTTCGGACAACCGCCGTCGCCGCTGGGCACGGCCAGGAGGTGACGACTGCGGGTGGCCCGAACCGCAGAGCGGGACGCGAGGCCCCACCTGGGCGGAGGCCTCGAGCTTCTGCTGGGCCTTGCTGGCGGAGTCGGCGTGGCGCTGTCGCTGCTCGTCCATCTCGCGCTCGCGCGTCTCCACCTCCTGGCGCAGCACCGCGCGCAGCGCCGCCAGCTCGCGCTCGCGCCGCCGCAAGCTCTCCTCCACCTCGCCCAGCCGCTGCAACTCCTGCGAGCGGCGCACGCAGCAGTACGCGGCCTCATGCACACTCGCACGCAGCGCCACTCACACACAACGCCACTCATTCACATCCACACGCAGCAGCACACGATCTCATCCACACTCACAAGCAGGACCACTCTCACTCATATGCAGCATCACACACACACTCGGCACCACTCGCACTACTTATGCGCAGCACTGCTCTCACGCAGCACCGTGCATGTGCAGCAACACGTAGCAGCACACGATCTCATCTACACTCACAAGTAGCAGCACGCAGTCTCATTAAACCACTCATGCGCAGCACCACTCACACGCAGTACCGCTCACACGCAGTACCACTCAAACGCAGCAGTACAGTCTCATCCACACTAACGTGCGTGACGGATGCAGACCGATGCACCATCTACACTGCCCATTGTGCCAACTTGCTGCGCCGTAGCTGCTCCATGCGTTACGTGATGTGGTGAGCCCTCTATTTCTCACAGACGGCCACCAGCTGCCCCAGCAGCATCATTCACGAGCATCCTCCAGAGGCCTATTCCCCAGTACCACATCAGCCCATCTCCCGAACAAACTGCTCTCCAGTTGTGTTGTTTCCTAGTTAAACAAACTAAACTAAATGCCTGCACTTGCAACTAAAGTTATGAGCTGGTAATACGGCTAATAGATGTGACAATGCTTATACTAATAGGGGTTTTTCCACTTTCTTTTTTCTGGTGACAAAACTGAAACCTTTTGCAAGGAATCATGTTTACATTAACCACAATACTTGCAGTCAGAATTGCAAAAGAAAAACTCTGATAATTTATGCATTGTCCTTGAAACTGATTGGGCGTCATCTGGTCGAACACCCTATGAGACGAGGCTCGAAGGAAAGCCGTCTCTGGTGTGGACCAATCAGTTTCAAGGACAATGCATAAATGATCAAAGTGTTGGTTTGTGTTTGCATTCTGACTGCAAGTATTGTGGTTAATGTAAACATGATTCCTTGCAAAAGGTTTCAGTTTTGTCGTCAGAAAAAAGGGGAAAACCCCTATTATTATATTTTGGTGCTGGCAAAGGAGGCCTCATGATGTGGCGACAAAGCTTGTTTTACTTTTACACGCATGATCAATCTGGTCACACACACGTTAAATGATACCGCGCAAACGCACGTAAACAACAGCAAGCGTACAACACATCCAACCCTTGTGTAGTGCCCATGCGCACGCACACAGCGCGGTGCACGGCCACACACACTCTGGCCGTGTCGCCGCTCGCACGCCGTGGGATGGGGGCGGGCGCGTGCACGAGCACCTGCAGCAGCGTCTTCCTCTCCTCCTGCTCCGCCGCCGAGTGCTTGGCCTGGTCCAGCTCGTCGTGCATTTCCGACAGCTGGCTCTTCAGGTCCCGCATCTCGCGCTGCAGGGCCGAGCGCTCACCCTCCACCTCCTCCAGCCTGGGGCAACGTGGAGACCAACCGCACTCAGCCAACGCCAAACTCCACCTCACACTCGGGACCCACTTCAAACTCCCACTCAACCTCCCACTCTACCTACAATTTAACACCCAACACTACTCCCAACTCAGCACCCAAGTCAACCTCCCATTCAAATTCCAGTTCAACCTCTTACTAAACCTCCAACTCAACCCAACCACCAACTCAACTGCTGACAATGACCAGCTTTAACTATCACAAGCACCAACTCAACCTCCATTGCCACTCTCAACTTCCAACTCCACTTGCAATACACTCACCAACTCAACAAAACCTCCAAGTAAACCCCAAACTCAAAGATCCCCCGTTTAGCCTTAACAGACTGTAGGGGCAAGTGCTGTTAGCGAGCACCTATGAAGGCCAGCACGGCACACGAGGGGGTGGGTGGCCAACACCATGCCCGGCCGCCTTTGTCTCCCCAGTGGCGATGTTTATACATTGCACCAGGTACTCATTTGAGGCTGAGTCGACCTAGGGGAAGCCCAGGACCGGTTCAGATAATCGTCACTGGTGTTGGCTGTGAGCGGGAATCGAACCCAGGTCGCCAGGTTCGTAGGGCAGCGCGCTAACCGCTACACTACCGCTCCCACAAAACTCAACTACCAGCTCCACCAGCCTCCAAATGGACAATCAATAAACCCCCACCACACCCAATCTCAACTAAGCTACCAACTCAACCCACAATGCAACACTGCTGAATCGGCCATCATCTCGGCTCACCTCCAAGTCAACTGAAGTAAACTCAACCCACAACCCAACTGCAAACCTAATCCTCAATCCAACCGGCCTCACCCAACCGCCATCCGAACCCCACCTCAATAAACCCCACATTGCCAGGCTCCTCCGCTAGACAGCACTAAGCTCCAAGCACATGGATACAGCCTCATTGCTTCCTTTATCCTGGAGCACCCTGGGCAAGCTCACACCGAGTCTCCATACCCAGTCATCTTCCAGCTCGACCCTGGGCTGACCAGGACCTACAGCCGGGCCGTAGTGTACCCGTGGACTTGACCGTACGTGGACATCGCTTCGTATTGTGTAAGCTTTAATGTGACGCACATGCAGCGCCATGGCCAGGACACGTGTGTGTGGTGCGTGGGCTCTAGTGGTGTAGGACGAGTGTGAGTGCTGCACCAGTGTGGCCAGGGCACGTGTGTGCGGTGCGTGCGCTCTAGTGGTGTGGGACGAGTGTGAGTGCTGCACCAGTGTGGCCAGGGCACGTGTGTGCGGTGCGTGGGCTCTAGTGGTGTAGGACGAGTGTGAGTGCTGCACCAGTGTGGCCAGGGCACGTGTGTGCGGTGCGTGGGCTCTAGTGGTGTGGGACGAGTGTGAGTGCTGCACCAGTGTGGCCAGGGCACGTGTGTGCGGTGCGTGGGCTCTAGTGGTGTAGGACGAGTGTGAGTGCTGCACCAGTGTGGCCAGGGCACGTGTGTGCGGTGCGTGGGCTCTAGTGGTGTGGGACGAGTGTGAGTGCTGCACCAGTGTGGCCAGGGCACGTGTGTGCGGTGCGTGGGCTCTAGTGGTGCGGGACGAGTGTGAGTGCTGCACCAGTGTGGCCAGGGCACGTGTGTGCGGTGCGTGGGCTCTAGTGGTGTGGGACGAGTGTGAGTGCTGCACCAGTGTGGCCAGGGCACGTGTGTGCGGTGCGTGGGCTCTAGTGGTGCGGGACGAGTGTGAGTGCTGCACCAGTGTGGCCAGGGCACGTGTGTGCGGTGCGTGGGCTCTAGTGGTGCGGGACGACTGAGTGCTGGGCCGCCCCTGTTGCGAGCCGTACGAGTGCTGCGTTGTTGCGAGGCGGGCGTCCGCCCGCTCCAGCTGCTCACGCCAGCGCTGCACCTCCTGGGCTTTGTCGTCTGCGTCCCTCCGCGCCGCCGCCAGGCTCTCCTCCAGCTTGGCCAGCTCTGCTTGTGCATCCGCACGGCTCTGACACGTCGCAAACAACAACAACACATCACACACCACCCGCACCGTTACTACGTTTCACTTGCAGCCCTCGTATACAGCTGAGCGATGTGGCAGAGCAGGCAACTTGCCATCAGAAGGCTGCGAGTTTGAATCTGGGCTGGGGTTAACTCAGAACATCATCCCTCCAGAAATCAATCACGAGAGTTTTGGGAAGTTAACAGTGCTCGTGGTATGACTACTACCATAGAAATGTGGACATTCTACTTCTGATTCAAAACGACCCGGCACCCTTTCGGGATGCACTTTGACTCGTGACCCTGGCACCTGGGCAGTGGGCACACGCAGCAGCAAAGCATTCATTTGGATCCCTCACAACCCCCGAAAGGACAGCGCAGCCACACACTCCTGCGCTTCACCTACAAAGTCAAAGCACATCAGCAGAGGCCATGCATTACATCCCAAGTCCCCTTTAAGGGTCTATCTTATTACAACTGTTGTGGTGCAAATGATGACTCGGAGGCAGATCTTCATGTAAGGGCTTGCGCCGGATATTTATTAAGGGTTTAGATAACTCTTCCCCAGGGGTAAGGGGTCCTATACTGGGTCCCTCACACGACCCTGCACTCTGTCTGTTCCTAGCTTGGCGAGCTCCAGGGCTCTCTCCCTCGAGTCGGATCGGGGGTTCATCCAACACCGACCGACCGGGGAAAGCAGCACCTCCTATGACTACCACCGGCTTCTCTGCAGACTCCTTCATCTCTATCCCTGGCTGGCTCTTCAACCGTTCTCTATCCGGGGCTCCCAAAGTGACCCCGCTTTCATCACGGGGTCCCGCTTAAGCACCTAGAGGAGACATGACGTCATCGCCCCGCCCAGCACGCATGACGTCATGTCCCATGACGTCATCGCACTGGACAGCGCGCATGACGTCACGTCCCCATATTACTCCTCTACACAACCATGACACTTTACTGTAACCTCTGCTTTTTAAAAGATCATGATGACGTCACAAGTAATTGGGTGCGTGATATGTGCGACGTCATCGCCTTGGCCATGAAGAAGGCTTTTTCATTTAGATTGATATATTTTTTAACTTGATTTGAATCTTTCGTGACTGCAGGAATTACTCTTTGGTTCTTTCGGTAAAGTCACATAGAAAGTAAATTATTTATAATTTATTTTATTTTGTTTACCGACAGACCCAAAGAGTATTTTTTAACGGCCAAGTTTTGGCCAACTCTTTGGTCAATTTGGACATTTTCCAGATGACAAGGCTCTAATACGAACACAGCTTTGCAACTCAAATGTCACTAATATTGGATCACCTTTACGAGAGTTATCAAGACCCCCCCCATGCTACAGACAGATGGATGGAGATACAGAAAAACTGGCCACAGGTAATACGTGAATGCTTTCAATCGGAACGTGATACGAGCACATCAGCGACCAGGCTGAACGTGAGACTAGAGCCTCAGGGTGCAGGCTAAACGTGATACTAGAGATAAGTTCACCGTTGGCATGTGTCGACACATTAATCACGGTAAGAACCGATGCAAAAGCAACTTGTCGAGGAGGGTTCCAAAATGAACCGAAAGAAAATGGAACCAATCACACGGCACACCGACACACGGGGGGTGGAGGGCTCCGCGTTCGGAGTGGGGGGGTCACCGTGCATCTGCACTAGGCTTGCGCCTTGGTAACCTCTGCCTTTCGAGAACTCTGAGAGGGGGGCACATGGACACCGATATTCACTGCCGCTTCAAAGGCAGGGGGGGGGGCATCTGTGCACAGTCGGTCACGGCCATGTCTTTTTTTCAAATCCCTATACGTCCCCTCAAACAACACAAAAAAACAGCCGTCATTGTTTGAGGTCATGTTCGTGTGAGAGCTTTACAGTTCCCATTCACTCGCGGCGTGCGTAACAAAAGCCTTTTAAATCGTGGGGAACAGGCCGGACTGGATGTTCAAGCTGACATTGTTGTGGCCGGTGGTCATACCGAAAAGAATAACAGAAAACATCGCAGTTAACACAGCGCAGGATAGCAATGCTGAAAAGTGGAATAATTCACATTTGCTGGACCATAAACAATGTTGTTGATCTTACGTTTTAAAGTTTTCGTGACTGCAGGGATTCATATTCTTGGTTGTTTCGGTAAATTCACGTAGAAGGGAAATATAAAAAATATATATAAATAAAACAATAATTTTCTTGCTGTGGTTTTCACACCTGATGACGATTGCTTGTGTTGCAATCGAAACGCCGCGATAATTTTATTGTTTTATTTATTTTATTTTATTATTTCCCTTCTACGTGACTTCACCGAAAGAACCAAGAACAATAATGTTGTTGATCCATAAGGGCATCAACCAAAGTGCTATACGAACAAGGCCATCATCATCGGCCATGGTCCATCCACTGCTGGATGAAGGACTGTCCCACGATGCTACACAGTGCGCCGCCCTCCTACGGATCTCATCGTGTCGTCTCGGCAATGGTCGCCCTCTTGCTGTGACCGCTCCTTGGCTGCCATTCCGCCACAAGTCTCCTTCAGATGGCCGCAGAGTATCCTGCCCAAGGCCACTTGCTCTGCTGAACAGACTTTTATAAACGCACCGTCTCTAATTTGAATTTGCTCCCCGCTCCACGAGCTCTTATTTCTGTCGCTCGGTGCAAACGAAAGCACACGCCTCTCTATGCTTGCGCACACCTGGGTGACACACGTTTCCAGCTGGTGGAATTTCAGCTCATCGGAGTGAGGTGTGCGTTGTAACAGATAGAGGTGAACGACACCCTTTCAACGGTGATGTTAGCTTCCGTCTTCCTCTACAGGGCTACGCAGTGCACGTTTCTGGTCACGTCTACACTGCGCATGTACAGTGCTAAAGGCACACGCACTGCACCGTGTGCCGGGCATCCATCGTATACCCCACCACCTCTACTGCCAGTCCAAGCCAACAGGGTGGCGCCGTGGGTTCAGCACTCAACTCACAATGAGATGGTTGCAAAAGTTCAATCCCGGGTCGAGGTTGATGCAGCCTATCGTCCCTGAGAGGTAAATAACATACGTGCTCCTTCATGGGAAGTCATCAGCAGTCATCACTACGGATATAGTGGCCCCACACCATGGCAATGCCGAATTTCCATTACTCATCTGAACAGAGAAACACCTTCCATTTGACTGGATTCTTACCAAAACTGCCAACACATGCCTCCAGGAAACTTAAAGTGAGGCCTGTTTGTTTGACTTCTGGAACTTCACACGAAACAGAACTCTGCTGCTCGGCCCCTTCACTCGAATGAACGACAGTGAAACGTCACTCCCACTCCCACTCTCTGCACCGGATTCCAATCCCCTCCACAACTAAGAAATACCACCGCACTCCCACGGACACCGTCTGCTCTACCCAATCTCGTATGCTGCACTTACATTTCAAGAGTGATTCATTTTCTGTCTGTATTTCCAACTCCTTCCGCCTACGTTAAACCTATGTATGTTCAACTTATTTCTCACCGTATATAGCCAACCGTGCTAATAAAAGTTGCGGCGGAAAGACTACAAACTAAAAATAGTTTTGTTAATATTTAAAATAAAACCTATATCTTCTGTACAAGGGCATGTTTGTTGAATCTCTGGATATTAAATTCCGATATACAATATGCATACGGGTATTCATTAAAAACAATTAAAAGTGTCTCTCTGTCCCAACAAACACCGGAGTGGTGGTCAACCCTGCAAAAGGCCCTGAAGCTAGAAGTATAAACTCCACATTTCTATGACAAAGCCAGTCTATTAAAAGGGAAAAACACTGTTGGCTTCCCATTAGCGGCGTGCAGTCTATCAGGGCCTGCAGGAATGAAACTGAATAAGCAGCGGTGTAACGATTCGCCGAGTCATCAAGCTCACAAGTTGTGCCCCTAAGTGGGTGCTTAAGGGTCAATGATTCTCGAGACGTGTAAGTTGTTTTAAGGGGTTTCCTCCTTGGGTGCAACTCTATCGGGTTTACACAACACAAGGGGTGCCACCTGTGCATTACGAACAACGACCGATTTGCGATGTGTCCACACACACAACCACGATGCGCCTTTCACGAGCTTTGTAGCAGAGTGGAAGTGCCATCGCAGGTGGTCACAGAGTGTTGGCGCAGCAATCTCAAGCGTCTGCCGCGCGCGCACGCGCACGCACCGGCGCCGCCTGCTCTCACCTTCTCCTCGTGCGACGCGCGGCTGCCCACCTCTCGGAGTTGCTGCTGCAGCTGCGCTCGCTCCGCCTGCACGGTGTGCAGCTCCGCCACAGCCACGTACGCCTGGCAGGGGCACACAACAGCAGCAGCAGCAGCGGCACATGCGTACGGTCACGAAAGCACGCAGCAGACAATGACGAACAATATGCTAAACAAACGTTTTACTCTGTTTTCTGTTTGGGATAATCTTTTGTGATTGGGCTGAGACCGTCAAAAGCGATAAATATTACAACATAAATAGTTTATTTTGGGTTAGATCGTCGTGTACGTATAATGGCAATTTTTAGCTATATCCTCCCGACACGTGGGCAAATATGGCAACTGGTTTGGTTCCGGAAAAATCGGAACATTTAAAAGCGACCAAGATTTTGACAATGTTTTATTCAACGTTTCTGTGGCAGTTACATCGAGCATCATCGGGCCAAACCAACTGGCATATTTTCCCAAGTGATACATCGATTGATTTGCCGTGCCAGAGGGTATAGCTGAAAGTTGGCATTATACCTACACGATCTCACCCAAAAACAAACTAATCATAAATTATAAATTTGGTCGTGAAAACCTATGCATTAAATTAAATGACGTTTATCTTGACAAAGAGGACAGAATGTGCATTCATGACCTTTGAAACACAAAGTGCCCTGACACTGGCATAACATTACGATTATGCCACCCAAGACAGAGGGTCACTAATTATTAATAAATAAACAAGCCTCAGGCGCATCTACCCACGCAATGGCAACGCTGGCATGGAACATCTCACAGTCAGCCACCACTGACATTTGCCGCTCAGCTCCCACCAATCAGAAGACCTTGTGCGGAGGAGGTCAAGTAGGGACGTGGGAAACGGGAGCCCCTCTACCCACAATCGATCAATTACTGATGACACGGCACGGTGCGCTCGACGCTCAACCGCTGCCAATCCACTTGCGAGATGTTTACCTCGTTGATTAAATGAAGATTGCTATCGACAGTAAAGTGGCTGCACATAAAGCCGCACTCATGTTGAGCACACTAAGGGTCGGTCCATGCGTGCGGAAACCTCATCCAGTGATGAACACCGATTTAGGTTGTTGCTACTCGCTTACACGCACTCGGGGCACCCTGTAAGATGTCTCTCTCTACAAACAGACATCTCAAAAGAGAAACGTGCTCACAGGCTACCCACTGCCCTTGTTCAAACCCTTATCAAGGTTTACACAGCTAAAAGCTCAGCAAAGAAAAAATGCAAGTATAACTTATCATGTGCTCTGTACGTCCTGTACCTAAATCGAGCCATGCATGAGATAATGTGCTGTAGCAACACTTCCTATGGCAAGTGCCATTGCACTCAGCAGTGCTAAGTCTACTCTAAACGTGTTCACGATGTTAGTGTGTGTGAACACGGGGGAGGGTCTTCAAATCACTTGGGCTTCACTAGACGCGTACGCGGGAGCAGAGAGTGCGAGCGGCGACGCAACGCGCACCTCGCCTCCGCTGCTGTGCTCACCTGCTCGGTCTGCACGCTCACGCTCTGCGAGCGCTTCGAGCCCAGGGTCTGGATCTTCTCAAACACCAGGTTCACCTTGCGGTGGGTGCTCTCCGCGCTCTCGCTGTTCCTGTGAAGCACAACGTCCACGCAGACAACGAGCCCCGTGAGGCGGAGGGGATAGCATGCCGCGCTACCACCCTCCCAACACGCCCTTGCCTGCTGTGCAATGAAGCAAGATCCACTCGCTTTGTGGTAGCTGAACCTGGGCTTCCCCGAGGTCGACTCGGCCTTACATGAGTACTGCATGAACATGAATGGAGGGAAGACAAAGGAGGCTAGATCTAGCCGGTTCACTGTCTTGAGTGACACTCACTAATGTTCATACCCACATAAAGAGACCAAGACAAAGAACCCCCGTATAGTCTTTAACAGACTGTTGGGGCAAGTACTGTTTGCAAGCAGCTACGAAGGTCGTCACGGAACACGAGGGCAGTAGCGATGTTTACAGATCGCACCAGGTACTCATTTCAGGCCGAGTAAACCTTGGGGAGGCCCAGGACCGATGCAGCTAATCGTCACTGGTGTTGGCCGTGAGCGGGAATTGAACTTGGGTCGCAGAGTTCGTACCACAGCGCACGAACCGTTGCACTACCGCTAACTATTGAGTAGACATGCAATGGAACACGCGTACTAAAAAGATGTGCACATACCGCATAAAACTAAAACACACATACGCTTATGCAAATTATTGTAAGACGACATAGCAAACGTACATTGCGATGAATAAACGGAGTACTTGGGCCTTCAGAAAACACGTAAACTAACTTAAACAAATACCAGTAAGAAAACATTTATTCATGCACACTCAATGTAAAGCATTTGTTGTGAGCTTACTTGTTTAATTCATGCATCGTCACACCCCTACCCAAAGTTAGGTGGCACATCCCACACTTTGCTAAGTATGCCTGTGAATAGTTAGTTCCACCACCCAATGGGGCACTACGTACAGTGGGCAGAGTTGGCATGGCTCTGGGTGGCAGGCCCACGCCAGATCTTGGCTTCGGGAGCACGAGGCACTGAGCAGAGAAAGCCTGGGGGGGGGATGCTGTGCTCCCAGCCTCCCGGCCCGAGTGGGCAGGCTGCCCACTGCAGCTGTCATGAGCACTCAATTCAGCAATTAACCCCTCCAGCGCGATGGCACGCAGGCAGCGCCGGGGACGAGGCGTCCATCCCAAGCGAGGCCGCTCTGACCCGGCTCCAAGCTTCTGCTTGCTTCAGTGTTTCCTTTCGGCGCAGTCGTTTGTGCATCAAGAGGGATTGTGAGAATCTAAGAAATGGTGTAATAATTGTGCCTCTTATTCAAAGGGGTATAGCTGAACATTCCAAACGTCTATCTAGCCATGTGACTGATAGAGAAGTTACAGAGCACTGCTGCTGTGAGCAGAGTGAAAAGTCATCCAAGAATGAATGCACAGGAGAACAACAGAGTGAAGCCAAATGCGATTCAACACTGGTCTTTACAATCAGTAGGTATCATTATCCCGCGAGGGCCACTCTGGCAGAGGGCGCAGCTCGCTATTATGAAGGTACAAATTGAAATCCGGGTTGGCGGTTGACACAGCATATCATCCCTCGAGGTCAGGAGAAGCACATTCCTGCAGAGGGAGCTGGTAGGAACGTTGGGTTGCTCGGTCAATGGCCAGGGTCAACGGCGGCGTGGTGTATTCCGCAAATATGCCCAACTGTGAGGGCGGGCACAAGCCGGTGTGAGTAGGTTAAACGTTGAGTTCTATAACGGCACCACGGGGTGACCAGCCCCTCCCCACCCATCCCACCCCCCACCCTCCCCACCCAGCCCCTCCCCACCCTCTCCACCCAGCCCCTCCTCACCCAGCCCCACCCTCCCCACCCAGCCCCTCCCCACCCCCCCCTCCCCTCCCCACCCAGCCCCTCCCTGCACGACGGACACAATAATCCCCTGTGGGCTGGTGTAACCAGGAGGTTCCTACCAATATGAGTGCTACTGTGTGGACAGCCAATAGCAGTTGTCCCGAGGAGAGGCTGGCCACTGCCATACAACCGCGGGATCTCCTCCACGAGCACAGGTATTCGCCACGGAGATGAGTGTCAACCAAATGATAGAAACAAACCGACTATTTCCATTTTTTTTAAGTTAACAAACCGGAGGCAAATTATAATAATATTTTATACCTACGTGACTTTACCGAAAGAACCAAAGAGTATGGATTCCTGCAGTCACGAAAGCTTCAAATCAAGATTAAAATACAGTTCACGTTAGCTGGAGTTAAACATCTGAACACGAATAGTGCATTGAGCACTTTTGCAAATTGGAACACGACACACCACCCACTGGGAGTGTTGCCACTCACAGCATCAGCCCCACCGTGGCAGGCAACCTCCACGGCACGGCAGTTGTTGCGGGCAGAAATATCCACAACAATTTCTACTGCCAGCAACAACTCCACAGAAACTACAGAAAGTGCTGCCCCTCACACTCTAAATTTAATAATAATAATTACTTATTTATTTATCCAGGAAATCAGTCCAAGGGCTCTTTTTCAGGAGGGTCCTGCATTGGGTTTTTCTTCTTAGATGTTTCCACACCATAAATGATCATACAAGTGGGAGGAAATCGGGCACCTCGATAAAAATGCAATATATTATAGAAACAAAACAATTAGTAGTCATTGGTGACAATGCTAGCTGAGACCATTGGCTTACTGCACTTGAGAACGTGATTTCATCTCAAGAATCTGTCTCCTATCAAAGCCGACTACAGGTGCAGGCACGGTGCTTTCTATTGGACATTGACTCAACTGAACTACCCAGCCCCCCCACAGCCCTGAATCTGAGTTAACGGGGACAGCAGCGACGCTGCACCTGTGGCTTGCGTCTAAGAGTGCACGCGCGATGGCCGTATCGGTAATGACAGCAACATGATCCTGACAGCGCTATTTAAATCAATGCTTATTAAACCAAGGTACATTGTTAATATGAATACTAGGGTTGTTAAAATAGTTTTTTTCTTTCATAACCGGTAACCATATCATAAAAATTGGTTTGCCGCATCTACAGTAATGTAAACCGATGAAGATAAAAGTACAACCCTGTGAGTACTCTCTAGTTCTTTCGGGAAAAGTCACGTAGGTGAAAAAAAAACTAAGAAAAATAAATAAAATAAAAAAAATTGAAATAAATTAAGTCACGACGTTCCGGAAGCAACACAAGCTTCCGTCATCAGGTGGGACAGCCACAGCAAGAAACAAAATTACTGTAAATTACACCCTGTCAGTGTTTGTCATACTCCGTGTGGTGTACTGGTCGGCACACGTGACTTGCAATCCTGAGGGGGAGGGTTTGACGGAGCAGCCCTGTAACCAGTAACATAAACGGTTACCATTTTAACGGTTATCATTTAACGGCCCTAATAGATACCAATCACGTTCGTGTTGAATTTCCAATCTGGGATCTTCGCCATGTTCTTATCCAGCCGAGGTTTTGTTCAACATTTGTGACGCCATGCTGAAATGCAGTGCTTTCGAATTTTCATGCCATTCAAAACAGAGTAAGGGCTGTATCCATCTGGGGTTGAGTTACATTTCGCTAAACATTTGAACGACAACACCAGCGACGGATCCAAAGTAACTCTAGCAGACTAAACAATTAAACTACTTAAACTATTTTTTTTTATTTTACCAGGTAAGGCCCACTGAGCTATCTAGCTCTTTTTTCAGAAGCGACCTCGCCACAAATGATAGCTCAACCAACTGGTTTATCATGTGGACATTTATAGCAGCCAAATGCTCTTAACACGTGTTTATAAATGTGGAGCGAAAAACCGGAGGACACGGAGAAAAATCCATGCGACCACAGGGAGACCATGCAAACTCCAAATCTATAGGCGTCAGGGACGGGATGGAGCCAACGACTTCCTACCAGAGGTCGCAAACGGGTTTTGATTCCTTACCCGTACCCGGCCGCACCAGGGTCGCAAATGGGTACCCGTACCCTACCCGAAATGAGTGACAAACGGTGACTCACCAGTGACTCACGGCCTACCCGTACCCGTACTCGGCCGCACCAGGGTCGCAAACGGGTACCCGTACCCGGCCGGGTACAGGTAACCGGGTATCGGGTAGGGTACGGGTATCGGGTACCCGGTTGCGACCTCATTTTCCTACAGACCTCTCGCCACAGTGGTGGCCAGACAGCAGAAGGGTGGCAGCCCGACACCAACCACTCTCGCACAACTGGCATGCACCGCTAGAGTTCTCACGGTCCGCTCGCCGGGACGGCGAGAGGGCGCAGGAACGCGTGCGTGGAGCGCCGGGTGTCTGCGCGTGCGCACTCACCCCTCCCGCAGGACGCTGTACAGGAACTGCTTGGCGCTGGCCTCCTGGGAAACGTCGGTCTGGTCGCGCAACAGGTCCGGGGTGGTCACGAGCTGCACAGCCACAGAGGGGCACGCGACGGAGGCAGCCATGCGGGGGACGGGGCACAGCACCTCCGATTAGCACGGTTGGCTACGTACGGTGCGAAAGAAGTTCAACATTCGGCGACCGCGCCAGCCGACAGTGTTAAGTTCGCCGCCACCGCCTCCTTCATCCACGCGATCGCTAAATCTCTACGTCATCGACGACAAAATGTCCACATTTGTCTGCAATGTAACAAATGACAAATAACGCTCACATTTAGTATTACATCAGTTTCCTTCAAAACTATGGCATTGCTACTTTCCACTCCTCCTCAACTCGAATTTTAAACTTGCAAAAAGGTCACCTTTTTAGCAATGTCATGGAAACACATGGGTGACTCCGTAACGCTCTCTGGACATTTGATAGGCGAGTGGATTTCGACCGGGATCTGCCCTGGCCTAGCCCTCACTTCTCCCATCTGCCGTGCCCGTTTTTAAACCCCTCATGTTCCTCTCCCACCACGGCCCCTGCAGACTCGCACGGCCTCACCTTCACATCCATAAGCCTCGCTCTTCGTTACATTCTCAATAGCCGTCTAGTCTACGGTGCATTTATTGCATTAAACCCTCTGACCCCATCACATATTTAATGCCATGAAACTCTCCATTGGTGGCCGCATAGAAGGACTGGCTCCTACCATAGGAATGTAGACGACTCACAGTGGCTTAGGGCCTCCAGTAGAGATGAACATCACCCCCACTCTTATTCGAGCCTGAGCGAAGCTTTATTCCCTATGTCAACGTCTGCTCATTTCTTAATACAACATTTTACTCTAGATTTGAAGTTACTACTATCAAAGGTTTGTTCATGAAGCAATCCAGATATATAAACATGGACGTAACTTCAACCGAGAAGATGGATACAAATTGAGCAATCATTGGAAGGATGTTATCAACCAGTTAAAACCCTAACTGCTGTATAGTTTGCTCTGATATCCGTATATCCAGTCCTGCTCAGTCCCATCATTTAGAACTTTGCCTTACGTGTCCATGGACCGCCCCCTGCTCTTCAGGCTATCGACCCTCAATTTTTCTTCTGCGTCCTTTCCTCTCCACTCTCTCAATCCTTGGCTTCGCCCCCCACCTCACCAATATAACCCCCTGGTAATCGCAGCTCTTTTGCCCATTTCAGCAACTGTGTTTTGCTGTGATTTTTCCCACCTGATGGCGGACGCTTGTGTTGCATCCGAAACGTCGTGATTTAATTTACTTTTATTTATTTAAAAATATATATTTTTCACCTACGTGACTTTACCGAAAGAACCAAAGAGTAAACGACATTTGATGTTCAACTTGTCCGCTATTTACGGCTTTTGAAGTCAAATGTATTTCAATACAAAAATACTAAATCCATTCATCATTATGATCAATCGTTGTCTATTCACTGCTGGTTGAAGGTCTCGGTATGCCACCGCCATCCTTCTCTGGGTCTCGTGATGCCACAATCCATCTCACCTCCGGTACCACTCAACAGGGTGGTACGTGGCATACAAAAAACATAGCGCATGGCAAATATGGTGAACTGTAGTGGCCTGTAACAGAACACGTGCAATCATCATGTAGGTTGTGGTTGAGCAGGCATCATTGTACATTTCTTTAATGAGGATTTGGTACACAAACCAACAAATTTGCAGAGGTTGCATAAAACAAATATGCAAAACAGAGCACCAACAAACCAGAGGGGACCTTTGTCGCTGATTAACAGCTGGGCCAGTTAATGTAAAAACCTCGAGAAAATAATAATCACCCAGGCACACACCCTGGGCTTGCAAGGCACAGCTGGGTGGCACACCCACTGCCCAGACAGCCTGCCTATAACCACCAGTATCACCTGATGCTTCCTCTCCTGAGCCCTTACAACACACGGCACCCAACGCACAGTGCAACAGCAGCCAGCACACAGCACACAACACCCAATACACAGCACACTACACAACACACGGCGCCCAACACACAGTGCAGCAGCACCCAACACACAGCACACAACACTCAATACACAGCACACAACACACACAACACACACAGCACTCAATACACAGCACACTGCACACAGCACCCATCACATGGAACCCAATACACAGTACAACAGCACCCAACACAGGGCACCCAACACAGTAACAACAGCACCCAACACACCGTGCACTACACACAACACACGGCACCCAATACACAGGAAAACAGTACCCATTACACAGCACACTACATACAACACCTACCACACGGCACCCAACAGACAGTACAACAGCACCCAACAAAGGACACTCAATACACAGTACAACAGCTCCAAATACACACGGAATCCAACACACGGAACCCAACACACACAGCGTTTACATATGCAGCAGAAGGGAGTGTGTGTATTCCTGCTGCAAACGGCCCCATGGCTCAATTCTGATACCCCTGCAGCAGCATGGAGACCCGTTACCTTGAAAACTAGAAACCCAGAACAGGGCAGAAGGCAAGGAGTTTGCACCTCTGTACATTTTGCCCTCGCTGACCCCGAGTCTCGCTTGCAAAATGCTCTCATGTCACCGAGCCGAGAGATATTGGTCGGAGAAACAAATTGGAAAACGTTGCAGAGTAAGTGGCAAGTGTACCTAGGGGCAGCCGTGACAGGCGGCACTGGAATTAAAACGATGCAACACAGAGGAGGACGAGAGCACGTTCAGAGTGATTTTCACGGCCGAACTTACAATTTAAATGTAATGCAGCAATGTGCCGAGAGGAGCGCGCGTTTCATCACTGCTTGCTGCCTGCTTTGATACGGTTCATGAACACGGTTATGAACAAAACAATATCGAACAAAACCTGAATAGTGGGCAAAGAAGCGTAAAGAGACGGCTGCTTGGAGAGACAGAGAAAGGAGCACGTGGTGAAAACAGACGCCGGTGACTGACAACGTCCACTATGAAGAAGACTACGGAGGCTCGGGCAGGGCACGTCTAGGGCAGGACACTTCTAGGGCAGGGCAAGTCTAGGGCAGGACGCGTCGCTGTAAAGGATGACGGCCGATGATCAAGAGTAAATTGAGAGTGGCAGCCAAGGAACGGAACGTGTCTGAGAGGACGCCTACGTAGCGGCGTGGCGAGGCCTTCATCCAGCAGCGGATTGACCATGGCCGACGACGACGAATGAACGATGCTGCAGTGGGGGTGGCGCGCTTTTGTGGGCTGTGCGTGAACGTGATCAAAATGGGCAGAGTGCGAGACAGACACCTTGCCAAGAGCAGGGTGGTTTGGTGTGGCTGTAGCACAGCGGTGTAGATGTTGTGGTCCTGTGGTTGAGTGAAGCCGACAGTCGGGCGGGCGTGCGGAGGAACCCGGCAACATGAATTGGACCAAGTGAGTCAATACAAAAAGGGGTAGCTTGCATAAGGCAAAACCAAGCGTGCCCATAGCATGGCAACTTTACAAATAAGTCCACGTTTGCCGTTCGTGTTTACATTGATGGCCCACTGGGGGTCGGTCAACAGCAGCAACGGTGGGAGGGTGCCGCTTGATGACGCACAGCGGGGGTCAGGGGGAGCAGGTGGTGTTTGTGTGGGGAGCCGAGAATCCCGATAAGAGCCACCAAGCCAATGCCGCAGAAGAAATGCACTTCCATAAGAAGAAGGCCCTGTGGGTGGTGGGACGGGAGGTGTAAAAAAAAATTTGTAAAAAAAAATTGTAAACAAAAATAGTAAAAAATAAATCTGTGTAGGAGGCAAATATGGGAAGCAGGTTTACATTGCTACTCGATGATAAGAAAGAGTTCTCTTACCGTGGAGTCAACGCGTTCCACAACCACAGGGGTTGCCATGGGCGTGTGACTGACCGTGCGCGTTTGGAACCTACACGCTAGGGATAACACGAGCCCACAGGGGGAAGGCAACAGCAACCGCGTGCTCTTTGGCTTGATCAATGTCGCCTGGACCAGCCTTGAAGGTGAACGTGATGCTCGTGCAAAACTTCACCAGAGCTGAAGAAGGAAGACATCGTGCTGCTCGCAGCAGACATCGCGGCTATCGCGATTTTCACCTTTGGCTTGTGTTGCTATCGAAACGTCGTGATTTTTTTGTTTTATTTTCTACCCACGTGACTTTACCGAAAGAACCAAAGAGCATGGATCCCTGCAGTCACGAAAGCTTCAAATCGAGAAGAGGAAGCAATTTTTTTCTTTGCTTGCGATTACGTGCAGGTGCGCACAGCGGTGGCCAGAGATTGTGCACAATGTGCAAGATGCACATCAAACAAAACACACGCAGCAATTCCTGTTGCTTTATATATCTCGATTGTGCTACTGGCATCCAAGGAGCAAGTGAAGCATTTTACATTCATTCAGCATGGCAAGCTCCACTTGAATGTGCTGCACATGGGTCAGCTGCACTTGAGCTGCGCTAGAGGGAGCTGCTCTTGAGTAGAGCTGCTCTTGAGTGGAGCTGCTCTTGAGTGAGCTGCTCTTGAGTGAGCTGCTCTTGAGTGGAGCTGCACTTGGGTGGAGCTGCTCTTGAGTGGAGCTGCTCTTGAGTGGAGCTGCTCTTGAGTGGAGCTGCTCTTGAGTGAGCTGCTCTTGAGTGGAGCTGCACTTGGGTGGAGCTGCTCTTGAGTGGAGCTGCTCTTGAGTGGAGCTGCTCTTGAGTGGAGCTGCTCTTGAGTGGAGCTGCACTTGGGTGGAGCTGCTCTTGAGTGAGCTGCACTTGGGTGGAGCTGCACTTGGGTGGAGCTGCACTTGGGTGGAGCTGCTCTTGAGTGAGCTGCACTTGAGTGGAGCTGCACTTGGGTGGAGCTGCACTTGAGTGTAGCTGCACTTGAGTGAGCTCCACGCGAGCTCCACACGAGCTCCACGTGGAGCTCCACGCGAGCTCGACGCGAGCTCCACGCGAATGAGCTCCATGTGGGTGAGATGCTTCGTGAGTGAGCTGCTGCCTGTAAGTCCGCACGCTCACCACTGAAGCAGTTGACTCAATGTGGAGGTTAGATTATCTGCAGAAGCTAACGACTTCCACAGAGAATTTCAAAGCTGCTGCCCGATTCAGTGTGTACACGAAGAAAGCCTGCGACACCATTCACAGGCGTAGACGGAAATAGAAATGAATAACAGTCGGGACTAAAAGTTCGTAAAATAATATATTACTTTACCCAAAGTCTACCTTGCAAAAGAGAAAATCAAGCTTGGTTGGCTATCACCTCTTAAATAAATAATTGGGACTGTTCTGTAACATTTTAAGACGGCATACCTAGATGGATTAAAAAATTACCCCACGGGCCCTCACTTATCATCCTTCAAGGGTTAATCATGTGACCAATATGCTTTGCGGTCTTCACTTCAAAAGACAAGCAAGCGGTTTGACCCCAAGATGGACAGGATAGAAACAATCCGCACACCACACACACCTCACACGTTGATCATTAAGTGTTGGTAGCCAGCCAGAGACCATCACTCTCCCTACATGTGCGGACCTCGGGCTCGGATTCAAATAGAGGTCTTCAGTGGTGCTGCCTGAGTGTTCAGATGTGGGACCCCAAGTTGCCCGTTTTCTGCCGTCTTCCGTGGCAGAAGGATCCGCTTGCTTCATAGCGGAAAATTTCCCTAAACCATGGCTCCAGTGGGAAAGGAACGTTAACATTCCCCTGGGATCGCTAATCACATCGTGAAGCTCAAAGTGAAGCTGCGTTCATTTCCAAGCCATGTGATGCCCGCCCACAGTTTGACGTGGGTCATAGGATGAAGAAAAACAGCCACTAAATGAATGCCCTGTAATGAACCAGCACTACTAACCTGCCTCTGGCATTCCATATCAACCCCAGTGACTCACAATGGAAAAGTTAAGAGGTCAAATCCCAGACTGCTGTGGGTTCTGACCTTCGTTCCTTTTTGTGACAAGCCAATAGCAGTGGCCGTACGAGAGGCTGGCATCACCGTGTGTGTGTGTTCAATTCCCACCACCGGTTCTGGGCCCATTATCCATACGAAGATGGAGACTCTACATTTTAACGATTTTTTTCGCGATGTTGAAATCCCAGAGGTAAATTACAAGATGTGAAGAGAGACGGGTGTGGTCGCATTGCTCGTGTGAGCGAGCAGATGCTGCGACTCATTCTGCTGTGCCGGGTGGTGCCGATCCCACGGTGCCAGCTCTGCCGCCCTCCAATGAGGCCTCACGATGCCGCAGCAGCAGCAGCAGCAGCAGACGGCTTTGTTGGTCGCTTTAAGAGCCCTCTGAGAAAGTTAATAAACTTATTTTCTTTTGGCAACTATGGATGACTGCTGGGAGTTGTTATAAGGCCTGCCACTCATCCAGCAAATGACACCGTTAAACTGTCGAGGTGTTTGGTAAATTTGACGCGAGGGACGGCAAGTGCTGCTCGAACTGTAAATATTTCCCTGCTGTGCATCAGGTAAACACGTTTCCAGCAACAAAGGTGGCCATTTCCACTCAAAACGTTGAGAGTTCTTTATAAATCCAGCCGATGCGAATGGGGCGTGGATCACCCGTGCAGAAGCAAGGCCGTACAGCTCACCAAGTTAGTAGTTCAGTGGCTTTGCAACCAGTTCATTGTGAGAAAACATTCAAGGAATACCTTTATTTGTCTACGAGCGGCAGAATTATTCGGCTACATTTTTCAAGTGCAAACCGACCCCCACCTCCATTCTAACAGAATGGCAATAAGCTTACAGGAATTTCCCGTGGTATTGTCAGGGCACTCTATGAGTTTCCCATCATGGCTGGTTTCACTGCCATTACTCATTGCTCATCCTCGGGGTATCGCGTTTCAACCACACGGGGCAAATGACAAAGGCCCTCACAACAATGAGCTGGGCTGCCTGTGGGAACACACGGCGTCACACTACGTCTTGAAGCCCAGTTTCAGGGGAAAATGTTCAGACCGTGGTGATGGGCGCACAAGAGGGGCCCTCCCAGCCACACGGAATCGATGGATTTCCGGTGTGTGGATGTGCCTACTTGGTGGTGGTAGAATGGCTACACTGAGATGACAACACGTGTCGTCTTCATACTGCATAAGGCACAATAACCGCTGGTGAAACCCCTCGGTTTGGTATGGGGATTTGCCCATGGGTGGAGATCAAATGAAGACACAAGGCCAATGTACGATTTCTTCCGATGTCAATTTTTTTTTAGACACCTTCATATCTCTGGCCTCCTTTCAAAAATGCGTTGGGAAAAAATTGGAAAGCTACAGAAATGGACCGGTACGGACAGTCCTGGAGGAAGGGCATTAAGACTTTATTGGAAATCCGCACACGGCAGATTCAAGTCTTCGCCGCAGAACCTCATCTAATTTCGTTTCGTACGCGGCTCTCAAAAAAACCAACATAAGAGCTACGAATATTACATCTCAGAGGAGATTTTTCCCAACACACCCCCCAATGACGGTACACAGACATAGGGTCATGCTTCTTAGGATTGTCCTGAGGTACTTTCCTTATTTGGCAAAACGTTACAAACGTTTCATCGTGCTAGCGGACTAGCTTTGACATGATCATTTATGGGCAATCCGTCCATACGCATTCCGAGATATAATGAAATGCATTTGCAAATTAACATCATGGTTTTCCATCAAAAAGTGTTAATACATTGAAAATAACATGATTTACCCTCCCTGGGAGAGGCGATGTGCTGTGGAAAGTGCAGCTATTGAGCATCAGGGGGCACTGGCACACACGGACGAAAATACCACGAGGTACAGTCTCTCTCCATGATCATCTTCGGTCTCTTAGTGTTCCACCTGAGAGAAGACGTTCCTCACCCTTTCTCTTTCCCCTCTTGCGTGTTTTGTTTACTCTGTGCAACACCACACAGGATACTGTGCGCACCTGCACCAGAGATGTTTCACGAGGGTAACCAGGTCTGTGGGTTTATTTTGTTTGTTCGGATGTATGCTTAATAACACGTATTTTGTAAACGCCACAATAAACACTAATCCTGGTCTTCTGTTAACGTTTCTGGTACCCTCTCTTGAAAGTTCTACTTGTGATGGATGATTGAATAAAGTCATGCTCCCATAGATATCCCCATGAACGCTGATTGTGTTCTTCATTCCGACTTGTACACAATTCATTTCTGAACAGTGGGCAAGGTTGGCTGGAGTTAAAGCATCAACTGGCCCTGCCAATTCTGTTGTTCACACAAACATGCTCATGGTAATTCACAGCTGTTCCTACTCCCTGTAATGTTACCACGATTCACAGTTGCGACAGCGCTCACCGTCTTGACAACCTCAGTGGGCACAACACAAAGAGCAGCCATCTCTGATCATGTGACTTGTCTGCTACCTATCAGGAAAATAATATTGCACACACGTACTTGGGCAAGGCCTCAATCACTGTGCAATTTTTCACAAAATCACACCGTCACAGGTGACAAAATTACGAAATACATTACATTAGTTTAAAATCCCTAATATTTTGGGCTCTGATGACTCACCTATCTACCCAACAAATGGAAAAATATATAATTACATGCAAAATACAAGAGTCAAACAACACGACACAACACATTTGATTTAAGAAGCACTCAGACGTTGTACAGGGATGAGGAGGTGTGAAATCCCAACGCTGGTAATGAGTTTGGTGCTGTGATGAGCAGAATGGCGCACGTGTGAACAAGGCCAAGGCTCTGGCCCAGCGCGCGCGTGCACGTGCGGTGTGTTCTCCGCACCTGCTTGGCGCCGACGGAGCCGCCGCCGGTGGCCTCCGCTCGGGACGCCAACGTAAGCCGCATGGAGCTCGTCACGGCGGCGGTGGCCACCTTCGCGTGCGGCTCCAGAAGGGGGTCGTGACCGCCCGCGCTCGCCTGCCCCCACCACACGCCGCTCCTCGGGCCGTCGAGCTCCACGCGGCTCCTCTCGGTCCGATTCTCCCGCTCGCCAGACCGAGCGCTCGAGAAGTTCTCGAGGCTGCGTGAGCGCACGCGGTCGCCTGCCGAGATCTTTGTGCGCCTGCGGGGACGCCCGCGCACCGCCGCGCTGGCCTCGTCGAACTGCCCGATGAGCTCCTCGATGGACAGGATGTGTCCCGAGTCGATGTCGCGGCCCGTGCCCGCGCGGAACGGGATGTAGCGCCGGTTCTCGTGGCGGTTGGCGCTCTCCCCACGCAGCTCGTCGAGGCCGTCCTCGGACGGCGATCGAAGTGGCGGCCGCTCGGGAGATGCTCGCGAGCGCGAGGACGCGGAGCTCGCGTTGGAGCGCCCGAGGCTGTCCACGTCGCTGCCGGCCCTGCCAGACTCCTCGCTCATGCTCGACACCGACCGCGTCACCGGAGGTTTGTCCCCGCTCCGCCTTCCCCACAACTCCTGCGTCTTCCCGGCCGCGGGCAATGGGGGGCCCCGCACACTTGCGCTGTCGATGACTCTTGTGGCTTGACCTGCAAGCGCGCTTCCCACACCGTTGGCCTCCCCTTTCACCGCCGGCTGCGTCACCCCGACTTTTGGATTTTTCTCCCTCTCTTGCCCATCCACACATGATTGTGCCTTGTCGGCCGGCCTGTACGGCTGAAGGATCCAAGGTTTTTTCTGAAAGTTCAGCTTCTGGCTTGAACTCTGACCCTTCAGTGCTGTGGATCGTGCCTGTTCTCGCGCCCGCATGAATTCTGGCCTCGTGTACTCAGTTTTCTTGTGCAGAGGGTCTTCGGTGGTCACCGAAGAACCGTTTGAGTTGAGGGCCAGGAGGCTCTCGGCGGTTTTCGTTTTGGGCTCCGGCAGTGTGAGCTTCGGGGGGTCCGGCAGGCCGCCCTCGGGCTGCTCGCTCGAGTTGAGCACCACAAAGGGCTGGCCCTTGATGCCCTGGATGCTGATCTGCACGCCGTAGGAGGAGGAGGAATTCATTTCGCTCAAAGGGTTCCCCCCGCCTCTGTGAGCCGGCGCGTTGGCAAAGTCCTCGATGAAGCGAATCTGGAGCCCGTAGTCACGCAGAGACTGTGCGTCCACCTCCTGTCGAGCCGGGTCCATGGTGGCCGCGTTCTGAAAAAGCAAGCGATGCAGGCATTAAGCATCGGGACATACGGGAGGGCCCGGGAGGCTCGCGTGTAATGGTGCTGCTCCAAAGTCGAACTCTGTCCCCGACTCGGCATGGTCGCCCACGGCTGCACGACGCACACACAGGCTATGCGCATAATTGGGTTTTGTTTCCGAAATCAGCAAAGTTAGACGTGCAACATATGTCACAATCAGTTTTCATCAGTCTGACGGTTCACATGGCTCCTTGAGGGGTATCGAGCTCTCGAGCGGTCGATCCGGGTGGGATGCGTAGCTCTGCTGTTGCACGGCCTTCAGGCGAGCGAGCCTGCTTTACTGTGAGCCGGGACCCCACCAGCAGGGAACACACAGCGCGGCCGCCTCAACAGGACAGGAGTTCTCTTCACACACTCAGCAACACAACACCCCTGTTTATTACTCCTGCGTGGTTTGCGATTACCACTGCCTTGCAATTCACTGCGGTGTGCGATTAACATTGCATAACTCCAACCGGAGCGGAAACGTGTAACGTCAACAAGAGACCTGAGACAGAGACGCATCCCGCATGTAATGAAGACTCAACTTGAGGATGGACAAGCCGTACACAATACGACATTTGGTTACTCAAAATAGTAAAGTCAAGACCTCTCTCCGCCCAGCGCAGCAGCCTCAGCAGCTGCAGCCCAATCACCGACCCAGGGGGGACCTGGGCCAAGGTAAGCTCAGCCAGGAAGTCGTGGCCTCACATTTCAGAGTTTGCTGCTGTGCCAACTACAGTCGTCATCGCGGCAGCCGAGTCAGCCTCGACACCTACAAGTTTACTCTGCGCTGGTTACATGGCAATCCCACTGGACCCACACGCAAACTTCGTGCGGCGATACGGCGAGCGCAGCGTCACCGGGGTCTCCGGCCCAGAGACCTGGAACCAGTTTTACCTGCGGCAGATGTTCGGAATCCGTCCGCGAGTCGGAGCCACTTTGGCAAAAGACTTGAAACGGCGTTATTCCAAAGAGCTCACTGTGTGATAAGTGCACATTTGTGATGGACTGGGCTCATAACAGTGCACGATAGCAAATGTTTGAACTTGCTTACAAAGGTGGGAGCTACCTGTGACCATGTGTGTGGAACAAATATTTTGACATGGACCGCTGTATCACGGGACACGTCACGTTGCGTTGCAGTATCGGCATAACCTGAATCTCCCAGCATCAGCGGAATAAACCAGATCCCCCCAGTTTCCTCAGCGCCCTCTGGGTCTCGCGTCAAACACTCCAGAAGCACCGTGGCGAGCGCCCCCCGCTGTGGTTCTAGCCGGCAGCCGGGGCTCCCCTTTGTCGTGACAGGAGAAGCAGCACCCAGGCAAAACCACAGCTCCACGAACACCTCGCTACCAAGTGGCACAGTCCTGGGGAGGCACTACATCCGGGTTGGTTGCTGCACATGGACTACACTGCAGGCGGGATGCACGTCAAGCCACCTTCACCTCTTGTTAGTGACGTCGCCACGACATACGTTTGGCTCGAATGAGAACGTTCCCAGAAGGTATTGCGCATGCCACCAGGTTGCGGGGTCACACAAATACGATGCTGGACACCTCCCCGTTGGGCAGGGCGAGCTACCCGCGAGGGGCACGAGCGTCCGTCTGCGCAGGGCTGGCTGTGCTACGCACGCTCAGATTTAGTTTTTCTAGGGTCATTCAGGTTTCCTTCCGAGCGCAAAATGATAATACAAATTTTTGGCAACATATACCAAGCAAGGCCGCACTGAAAATCCTCAATAATCATCACGAGGTGTGATTTCAAACAAATACAATGTCACGTTGATCCCGTTAAGGATGGTGAAAAACAACACGAACGGCTTAAAGGGAACAATGCAGCCTGGATCTCCCCTTGCAGCAGCACCGCCATACTGCGTCTGAATGGACACTCACTGGTAGGCAGGTTGGAAGTAATGACGTTCAGAGTTTGTATTCCAGAATGGATTCCAACTGTGCAAAGCCAACAGGGCTTAGATAATAACCGCGGGAGCTGCAGACAAACACCGCGTGCCATTCCCTGCAAAGCAATTGACACGAAAAATGTTTCTTCACCAATGGGGATGAGGCCATAAAATCACCCGCCACTTGGAAAAAACTCCGGCCTCAAACCTGGTCTCCAGCTACAAAGCAGCTTTGTGTTACTCCAGCACTGAACGGCAAGTCCAGGTGAAATCCAAGTCTCTCCTTAAAATATACATTGCATATATGTAGATAAGTGTACGTTTTTATCAGATGATAAACACACCTCTTTGATGAATACATCCTTGGTCTCTCAGCTGTGTATCAGCTTGCCAATAACTCCATTCATTGCATAAAGCAACGTAGTAGACAGTGGTGAATGGCAGCTTTCCATTGCTTCAGTACTACGCTCTTGCAAGAGTTGTGTGCACAGTCTTTGACATGTTTAAATACTGGGGGGCTTTCACTCGTTTGCAACACAGAATTCATATTTGCCAATCAAACATTTGACAACCGTGATAGAGTACACAGCCATAATCAAACTTCAAACACCCCACTACCATTGTGCAGGGGACAATCTTTAAGTGTTTTATTCAACTTTTTGGTTCTTTCGGTAAAGTCACGTAGGTATAAAATAAATTAAGTGATTTAATTTCTTTTCTTTTCTACCTACGTGACTTTACCGAAAGAACCAAAGAGTATGGAACCCTGCAGTCACGAAAACTTCAAATCTAGATTTTGATTCAACTTGTTCATCGAATGTATCCCGATCTTGTTATAATCTGGCAGATTCGAAGAAACGCTTTTTCTCCTAAGATTCCTGTACAACAGCAGAGCCACATACAGTGACACAGATCACATACAAGGAAGGTCCATGGGGCAGCCAGGAGGAAGCCCACGCCATGCGCAGCGTGTGCAGATGAGAGATTAGGTCGTCCATTCAGAGGCACGTACTGAGTAGCCCCCAGTGCTGGGCTCCGCCGTATCAAGATAAAAAAAAGTCTGACAATGGGATTTTTGTGCAGTGGCTCGTGTCAGCAGAGACTCTCTTAGAGTCATGTGAGAACCAGGATTAACATTGAGTGGCAGCTTGCAACCTAAGCTCAGGGTCTTAGCGATGCTGACTCATTTAAGTCAAGTTCAAATCACCAGGCAAAATTATAATGAAGCTTGTTTTGTAATTTTTGTTGTTTTTGGATAAGATTTTTTCGTGGTTAGCGCAATCAACTATGAAGCCAGCAACCGCAGTTTGATTGACAGCCACGGCTAACATCAGTGGTGAGCATAATCTGAACAAATGCAGCCCTCAACTCCCCCACCATCAAACCACCTCCATGATCGACACGTCACGGAGATATGTTCATCCAGCAGTGGATTGACAAAGGGCTTCACTGAATATTACGATAACTTAATTTTAACAATTTTACTTCTTTTCCAAGTTCACTTTTATTTTACCTGGATTAATAGCTATGGAAAACACAACAAATACATTCGCTGTATGCCCACTAAATAAACTAGCATTACAGAAAACTACACACGATTTACAGCTGTGACCACACTTACGTGCACATTAGAAATCTGCGTTTAAACTTTGGAAGTGAGCTGGGAAAATGTAACTTTCATCCCAAGCATTTGCACTGAATGGATGAGTCATCTCTTTCGTATCTCTTCTCTACGATGCACACCATCGGCTTTCCTTCAGTGCCACTCCCTTCACACAATCCTCCTCCTTGCTACGCTCCATGACCGCGTTCCATCACATACGTCTTCTCACCACCCCGTGATCACACCAATGCCACGTACGCTGCACACAAAGCTCTGTATTGTGTTATAGCAATGTGTTGCTTTCTCTGCTACAACCACAAGTGAACACGATGTCCATTATCAATGTTTGCACAATACATCGGCTGCATGGGATTGCGCTGGATCTGCGCTTTGCTTGGCCATGCCTGGCGTCTTGCTCGCAGATTGAGGACCTCATTGAAGTCTCAAAATTCCCTGTCAATTTTTTGGTGGAAATTAGAAGAGGCCATTTGGCTCTTCTTCACCAAATGTTGAGTCCGCAACGACCAAGACTGGACGAAATTCGTCCAGCGTGACAATGACTAGGATCAGAGACCTGAACGAGCCTGACCATGGACGAGTAGAAATTAACTCGTCTGAATGCAGATGCAGAACTTAGATGCTGGCTACATTACCCCTGCAGCAGATCCACGCTCCGTGGACGCACACGTCGAGCAGCTCTGTGAAACAATCGCCGCCTCGACCACATCAATGTTCGTCTCGGCGCAGAGGATCTCGCACGTTGGGTTATTTTGGGTTATTTTATCTAAATGCACAGCAGTACATTTTTTGGTGTTACTGTAGCGTTTCATAAATTCTCATCAGGCCCCATTATGTTTGCTGCACAAATGTCTACCTTTCCCTAGTCGTTTTTTGTTCCGTTCCTTGCCCTTTTCCCACATGTGCCTCGCTAGCTGAAGAAATGTATTGTTGGAATGCCCCTTGCTATGCATGCAGCCTGCCCTACCTACCCACGTTCCTGGACATGTATGCAGAGAGTTGTTGACGTTATAGTTAATGAAATTCATAGTCCGAGCTGAACAATAATCGTCGTGTCCAATTTTCTGTCTTCTTCTTTGGCAAAAGCTCGGTTAGCAAGCAGTGATGCTGCCGTGCTTCACAGCCAAGTGGTCGTGCAGGGGGCGCACAGCGAAAGGCGCGGAAGACCGCACGGCGAGCCAAGGGGGGGCTCGTGTGGCAAGACACTGAACACCAGGAGTCCGCCCCGCGGCCATAGGCTTTGATATCATATCCCTCGTCGTGGCTCCAACATAGCGTTGCTTTGTGCTCGTGCTTGGATGGTATTGATCAGGGAAACACAATGGAGCGATGGCTTTAAATGCACCGGGAGAAATTACCAAATGTAATAAGTAATATTTAAAAAAAACTTTTATTAAACACGCTTTTATGAAATGTACTAGTAATGAAAAAACGCCGCGACTCCAGG